GTGAGGTGCCCGATTTGACCGGACAAGCGCCCATGTCTAGATTAACCCAGTTTTCAGTGAACGTGGGGTTGCTTCCCCGGTATTTTACGGTAAACATGTTTATTGCCTATATACAGATTTTGCATAGTCATGAAGCCGTCCACATGCAAAAGTTGTTGGTGTGCTATAATAATGAAAGCTTTGTTTGAAATGAAATAAAATTCACATTGTTATAGCAACTGTCAGAATTAAAAAAAAAAAAAAGATGCAGCTGCTGTTAGAGGACGAAAGCATACATATTGTATGAATATTTTGTTTCCGTGTCTGGTGCTTTTAAACAGGGCTGAACCGCTAATTCAGTGTTTTGGGAAGTTACATTGCAAGCAATTCATGAGTAGTGGCACAGCAATGTGACAGTAAAGAAGGCACTATATTTTTATCTTGCGGTCTAATACTTGATTTTTTATAACAGGTTATTTACCATAGATAGAATGCGAATGAATATCATAGTTCTGCTCCACAGGCTCTTTGCTGCTCCAAAATGAACTGGTGAGTGCTTCAAACAGTGCTCTAAAATGACTTGAGCCAATCACACCACTGCAAGCTGCATTGAGGACGGGGAAATGCAGTTTTTTGTGGTTTTGATATCATTTGGCTCTTAGTGTAAAACTTCTGTCTCTGACCCAAACGCAGTGCAATTGTTCCATTCCTTGGTGGGTTCCTGAGTTTGATAAGACTCCTGACTGGGCGAGTTGGTAGTTCATGTTGAAAAACGTAACAGCGCACAACTAGAGAAACACTTGCAAACTCAGACACATAAAAAAAATATACACTAACTCGGCGCTGACTCACAACTCTTGTATTTGTATTGTCTTCTTCTTCTATGGAAAAAGACCCACCTCCTCTTTTTCTATGCTCTAGGGAAGAGATGACGACCTCAAATACAGATTACATAAATTAGAACCCAATAAAATTGAGGAATTATTTAAAAAAAAAAAAAATTAAAAAAGTAAAAAAAAAAATAAAGAATTCTCACTGCTGGTGCCTAGGAGAACTTTTGGTTAGATACTCCAGCTCCCTTAGTGAAAGAGTTAAAGAAGGCCTGCTGACACACTTGTCACTGTGTCTTTCGATGCTTGCTGCCTCGATAATCACTTATGTCAGCCGACAAAGAAGGTGGCTCCATCATCATGCCGAGAGATACGTTTGAAAAAAAGGCTGTAACTGCGATTGAATCCGTTTTCGATGACCACACGAATATCTCCTTGAGTAGGGTTAAACGGGACGCAAGACAATTCTGCCAGTCGCTTCAGTTAAAAAAGCTTTGCTCGGCTATAGATCGCAGCAAACACTTATCCCTAGAAATATTCTTTAGTGGGAAAACTCATAAACCTGATTGCCCTCTTAGAGTCATTGTCTCGGAGTTGGGAACACGGCAAAAGTCGGTAGCATTATTCTTACAGGACAGACTAAATTTGTTGACTATTGATGACCCTTACCTGATCCGGAGCTCGTACGAAGTCTTGAGCTTCCTGGAGGAACATCAAGATAGGGATCTCAATGTGTTCTCTATAGACATCAAGGATCTTTATTATGCCTTGCCCCAGGAAAACCGCTTAAGATGCATTGAAGAGCAGATCGATGCCTTTGGTGCCGTTTCCTTCCAGACAGCGTCACGTCTTTCCCAAAGCCAGTTTTTAAATTTGATCACCATTTATCTCAAGTCCACCTTCGCTATTTGGGAGGGACATGCATATCTTCAAAAGAGAGGGATATGCATAGGATCTTGTATTGCCCCGGTCCTCAGTGACCTCTATTTAGCACACTATGACAGAATTCTACAAGAAAGGTTAGATACGTCAAAAGTAGTGAAGGTGTGTAGGTACCGTATGTGGATGATTTCTTAATATTCCTTGACACAACCCACAACAGCTTTAATGCCTTAGTGACTGAAGTTACTGCCAGTTTTAAAAATTGTATCGAACCTTTGGAAATCACTTATGAACTCCCGGTTGCAGGGTCATTAAGATTCCTTGACCTTAGACTAGAAGTGTTAGCTCGGCATGTATACTGGTCTTATGAGCCTAGAGGGAATAAACCACTCCTTCCATTCCACTCGGCGCACTCCAAACTAGTGAAGAGAGGCGTCGTGAGGATGTGTCTAAAGAATTCAATCACCAAATCGTGCACACACACAATTGAAAAGAGCTTCACTGGGCAAGTCGCAAGGTTAAAGTCCGCAGAATACCCTGATTCCTTATTGACGTCGGTTGTTGAAAGGCTCCTTAAAGAGATCAAGCAAGGTGATAGCGTGAATCGAAACCCCAGGGACAAGCCAAGAAGACCAGTGGTAATTCCATACATGCATAAGTTCTCTCATAACCTTAAGAGGGCAGCGAATTGATTTAATGTAGATGTAGTATTTTCGGCCCCAAAAAAACTCAACGGCCTGTGTAAAAAGGTAAATTCAACTTCAAATACTACTGTAAGTTGCATCAAAAAGCATCGAACCAACTTTGTTCCCTGTGTAGAAGCAGTAATTTATTCCTTCCCACTTTCCTGTGGGCGAGTGTACATAGGACAGACTGGTAGGTGTGGGAACGACCGCCTTCGGGAGCATGCCAACAACGTCGTCAACGCCAAATTTGGACATTTGGGAGTCCACTGTAGGGACTGTGGGTGTTCGGCTTGTATGAGTAACTGCACTGTGCTAGGAAGGAGCCCCAATCAGCTAACCAGGGAGATTATCGAGGCAGCAAGCATCGAAAGACACAGTGACAAGTGTGTCAGCAGGCCTTCTTTAACTCTCCCACTAAGGGAGCTGGAGCATTTTACCAAAAGTTCTCCTAGGCACCAGCAATGAGAATTCTTTATTTTTTTTTTTTACTTTTTAATTTTTAATATTTAATTTTTTATTTTTAAATAATTTTTACATTTTATTGGGTTCTAATTTATGTAATCCGTATTTGAGGTCGTCATCTCTTCCCTAGAGCATAGAAAAAGAGGAGTTGGGTCTTTTTGCATAGAAGAAGAAGACAATACAAATACAAGAGTTGTCAGTCAGTGCCGAGTGAGTGTATTTTTTTTGGTGTGTCTGAGTTTGCAAATGTTTCTCTAGTTGTGTGCTGTTACGTTTTTCGTCCTGAGTTTGGTTTGTTTATCTTCATATTTGCTCAAACAATCTATCGTTTATGCATCTCAAAGTTTACCCCACATACTCAAAACTATGTGCCAGCGGAATCTCATATACACCTCCTTCACAGGGAACCAACCTTTTCCGATGGGCCTTTTTGCAGATTTTTTGACTGCACCGGAAAGGTGTCGTGCGGCTCAGCTTGAAATCCGAGCTGAAACCACATCAGTTTCAAGCTTTTCGGTGCAGACTTTTAGATACAGTGATGACTCGTTAATATGTACACCTCCGTTCCCCCCAAAAATCATCCATAATGTGAGTTGTCCATAATGAGACAAAAATGCATGTATTTTCCCAGGTTGTCCCTAAAAATGATGTCTATATAGTGGGGTGTGCATAATAACAGGGTCCATATTAATGAGACATGACGGTAGTGGGAAATCTGATAGTAGTATAAAATCACTGCTGCCATTTTTTTTATAACCTTTTTGTCAATGTTTGAATTATGAAATGAAATCTTCTTTATACCCAGCACTTTGTAGCCTCCTCCTATGTTTTTTTGCAATGTGACTCATCCAATGGGTACATGAATTCTTCATTGCTTTCATCATTAAAGGCGACAACTTTAGCTTTGACCGATTTGGCGGGACCACTTTTATTACTCAAGATAGGTTTTGCATTTTGCTTCTCATATTCGCAGCATAGTCCTCCTTTGACAGGGACGCTTATATCTAGAAACGGTAAAATCTCATCCTCCGGCTGTTCTACAGTAAACAAGCTCTGGAACAGCTGATCTCACCAACATTTCCAAACCCCGTGAATCCTTCTCCTGAAATAAGTAAATAAAAATGTCATCTACATTCCACCTTACTAGGCAACTATTCAAGCCACTTCCATCTAGACCAGGGGTCGGCAACCTTTTGCAGTGGTAGGCGGAGTCATCACGAAGCCGACAAAGAGGAGGCAAAAAGGAAGGGAATACATTCTCTGCCTAAGTATGGGAGGAGATTCCGGACAATGCCAATTGGTAGTGCTCCTTGTTGCTATCTAACCCATTTGACATAAAAACTGCTGTGTGGTCCTTGAGTCTGTGTAAGGAAGCGGCCGGTGGGGGGTCCTTTTTTGGTGTCGTTCTGATGGCCGTATAAAACTGCCTTGCGTTCAGCATGCGGCCCGCTGGCCGTGGGTTGCTGACCCTTGGTCTAGACTGTCAGTCACTGAACTAAGGTGTTGAATTATATTTCTGCCAGCATTGAAACAATGGACGACCCTATACTCCATCTTTCTCTATATACTTCTGGCTTTTGTATTCCGCTACTGTTGTTCGGAGGTGGGGGTCCAGGATAGAAAGAAAAGTACTATCCACTGCTATGCCTGCTTTAGACTGAAAGGTAATATATCTAACTCTAATGCTTGTCTAAGCTTTTGCATCAAACGAACCTTCTCCAGTGAATACTAAGTCTAAGGCACGACATTTGGGCAGTTCCAGCCGTACAGCCTACTGGAACTGCCTAGATGTTGAGAACGGCTGGTTTGATGTCTACTGTTCAAATCAGACACATGCCCTTTCCCTCTTTTAACCCGCCAAATCTGTTGAAATGCCCAGATGTATGTAGACGGTGCTCCAGTTGGAACAAAATAGTGCCACCCAGAGAGGCCTTCGTGGAATGTTCTATAGTGCAGTGATGCGAAACAGTGAAGCCTTGCAAAACATGCACCAGTGCGAAACGGTAAAGCTTGACGCGAGAAAATGAAGAATTGCAAAGACATTGCTTGTAATTTGGGAAAATTTGAAGATACCTGAAACTGTGAAAGTGTGCTGCAGATGGAATAGTATTTGTTAGTGTTAGAGGCCCTGTGTGTTGAAGACTGCCGCCTTGCCCCACAGACGTTCCCCAGCTGGCGGATCTGGTGGACAAGATAAGTGGGGTGGTGCGCAGCCCCTCGTCTGTGTCTTGCCGCACTGGGCTGCAGGCCACTCGCCTGTGCGTGGGGAGCCTGCTGCGGTCGTGCCACGCCCACCTGGTGCCAGCCCTGCTGGAGGCCTGCATGAAGCTCAAGGACAACACCTACTGGCTGGTCAAGGTGCGCTGGCCCATTTTTCTACAAAGCCTCGGGACGTAAACTCCTACTTTCAAAATGTGGAATTAGCACAACTGTCATGGCGTCGTGACGAAGTGTGACACTGTGACCTGATGTCGTTGTCACAATCACATGTGATACGATATACGATCATCATCGTGACGTTACTTAACATAGCCACGGCATCGTGCCACGTGACAACGTTGCTTGACGTCGAGTTAATTAGAGACGCAATCTTCACTCCTCAATCTGACAGTTTCTTGTCCTCTAAACAAATTTAAATGATTGCTTCTTAAATACTACATTCCATGCATTATAGAAAGTAGGAGATAAAGGTTGTTGCCAAACTGCGCCGAATTACGCCATGAACGAAAATCTGCTACATCTTGCAGCACAATGCCATTTTTGCTAATTGCGCCACACCTGCTCTGAGATCGGCTTAAGGTGAAAAAATTAATGTTTTCTTATTAGTCTACCTTAATATTCATAGAAGTAGAAGGAGAGAAAAATTGTACAAATATGAATTTCACAGGGTCTCTTCTCACCGTTCGCCGCACAGTCGGAGGCTCGAACACCTACATCCACAAACACTCATACTAAAAGCGCAAGTCACGGGACATTCGCTGCATGCCCTTGATTGGTTTAGCCGATGAAACAACACATACAAGGACATGACGAATTTCATGATGTGATGCTGCGAATCAACCGGTCAGAGCTTTTGATGCACTGGTTGGATCGTCGCTGACATCATATAAATTTCCAGATGATGTCGTCGATGTCGGGAAAGAAATCTCCTGAGAAAACTTTGCAAAATAGTAGGATTGCCGATTGCTGCTGCTGTGATAAAACAGAACGAAGGTCTTGTACTCCTGATGAGATCACTTGATTACCATGTCTGCGACATGCCTACGTCCTGTGACTGCAGAGTACCATGGCACTTGGGCCGTTCGCATCAACCTTCACCGCCTTTCACCAGCGTGCGCACATCGAGCTTTATCGCTTTGCACCAGGGTGCTAGGAGCAGCGACTGACCTAGGGAAGCGCATGGCTTTGTATGATAGGCACGCAAATTATGCTCAGGATTAGTACGGGTCGAACTTCTTTTTCCTAATTGTGAAGCAATTTCTAATTAAAAAAATAAAACAGAGAAAGAGAGAGAAGAAAACACAAATTTATATATATTTCAATAAATATGGTAGTCACGGTAGTTCCTGTGCAGCTGTAGATTAAAAGAGCAGCACACTTTGATGTAACTTCGGTTCCTACGCTGCTAAAAAGCAGTGTTACCATTAAAGTGCAAGTGTAGGCTTTTATAATATTTTTGGGTGGTGGTTCTTGCAGTTTATGATATTAGAACCTTGAGTTTGGTAAGTTGATTAAACTTATGGGACACATTTTTATTGGTAGACGTGTTAGCAGATATTCTCTTGCTGGCATTTTACAGAAATTATATTTTCAGGCTAAGCAAACTACGGAGTGTAAAATGAAGATGTGAGAGGAGGATTTATTGCGATGAAGTGTCGCGCTATGATTCACTTTTAACCATATTTTAATACCCATGATAAATTAAACCTACTCAGACTAGAGCCTTATTTAAGAAGACTATGTTCCTTTTATGCTCCGTCTACTCTTATCACAAACGGTAATAAGTAATGTGCTCGAGTATCAAAGAGGAAGCCTTGATCATTATCATAAAGGAACTCATTTAGAGATGCAATCATGTTTTCATTGTCAAGTGATGTGCTAACAGATGCTAGCATCTGCTCCAAAAGCGTCAAATGGCTGCTCCAAACCAATATTTTGACCGCTAAATAATCTGCTACAAAAGGTGAAATGGCGCTTCCATCACTGGAATCGTGTCGCCACAGTGTGGCCAAAATTGGAAACATGTAAAAATGGGGATACCGCCGTACGTCGTCTGCTACGGGCACACGTTCAGAAGCATGAATCTCGACGACGCAATCCCGTTTCCGGCTGAGCTGGGCCCTCCCCATTAAATGCTTGTTGTTTTTGTTGTTGTTTCTTCTAACTAAAGCTTGTATTGTATTGTTTCACACGCCTGGAAATTCAGCAAAGCGATTAATATTAAGTTGGATGCTGTCATAATCTTAGTATTGGGGTTTGTAGAACTGCTGGTCCCACATATTTTTGTGATTTCACACGATCCATAGCTTTCATAAAACATTCAGTGTTGATTGGAGCTGTGGGCTGATTTAAAAAAAATGAGACGTTTACAATTCGCTGTAATGCCGAATTAGAGCGCAGCTCTTGAGGAGGAGGAGGAGGGGAGGGTACGGAGAGGAGGGTATGCCCCTCCTCCTCCTTCATACCCTTTCCTCCCCTCCTCCTCCATACCCTCTCCTCCTCTCTTCCCCTCCTCATACTCTCGTCCTCCTCCCCTCACCTCCCCCTCCTCTTCCCTCCTTCTCACCTTCTCCTCCCCATCCTCCTCCTCTCATTCTCCTCTCTTCCTCCTCTTCCTCGTCCTCCCTCCCTCCCCCTTTGTGATGTCACTCGTGACCCTCGTGACGTCACTTGTGAAGGTCACGGCCTTGACGTGACCTTTACTGTGAAGGTTGTGACCTTCGTTGTGACCTTCACGTGTGACCTTCGTGATGTCACTTGTGACCCTCGTTATGTCACATGTGACATCACGTGTGACGTCATTATGGGAAACGTACCATAATGCAACGCGCGGTTACGCCAATGGCAATGGCGACGCCGCTCAAGCCGGAAACGGGTGCCTAAGAGCTGCGTTCTAAAATAACCCAACTGATCGCCACCCTTCAACAGACTAATCAATTGATATATTCTTTAGTTGATTTTCCTCCAGTCATATTGCATGAAAGACGTCAAAACTACAGTGTTTTACTATTTTCACTATGTCATAAATGGCATATTGCACTCCCATTGTAAACTTCTCCTTGTGACGCCTACTATGATATGAACGCGGGAAGGCTTTTAAATGGGGACACTACCTCGTAATGTCAACTTTTGAACTGCTCACTCAATCGGCGTAGAAAAAAGATTTCTGCAAAAAAAGTTGTTTTAAAAATGTTATACTTACATCCATCAACATCTAGAGAGTATTCACAGAAAGTTTCATTTGTTTACACAGCATAGTTATTTTTTTTATGAAGTGTTTTCGGTCCACCGATGCTGAAGAAAAGGTAGAGGTTCGAGCACTTTGAACACATTTTCCTCTGTTCCACTTTTTGGCTTAAATTTCACTTTAGGAAAACTATCGTTTGGTAACGGGACAAGAGGAAAGGCTCACTCATTGTGTTTCTTAAGGGGGGGCACTACCTGGGAATGTCAACTTTTGAGCCGCTCGCTCAGTCTGCATGACATTTGCAGGTGGTGTTTGTAGCCGTTTAGAAGGAGGGCATGCAAAGTTTCAGCCGTGTGAACCAATTTTATGAGGTACTATATCTCCAGAACCAAGTAAAGCATAGCTTTGCATGAAATTTGCTCAATGAATCTATCATTGAGAAATGGTGTTGATAACCACATTTTTCTGGTGTAAAGCATGCTGGAATAGCTGTTGCCGGTTACTATGAAAAGAAATTTAAGAAAATATGCATTTTGTAAACAAGAAAAAGCATTAATTTTTTTTCCACATTGTTAAAGTTTTGCAAATTACAATTTTTGATAATAAAGGAACATGAAAATGCAGAATTTAACTTCATAGTAACCGTCTCCATAAAATTTTGATATATAAGCTGCAAAAATTAAGTCTCGATAGTTTAATACTGAAACAATAGATTTATTAAGTGAAATTTAGGCCAAAAAGTGGAACTGAGAAAAACGCGTTCAAAGTGTTCTAACCTCTACTTTTTCTTTAGCATTGGTGCACTAAAATAATTTATAAAAAAATAAATATGAAGTGTAAATAAATTAAACTTTCTGGGAATACTCTCTAGATGTTGGCGGATGTAAATATGGCATTTTTCAAAATCAGCTTTTTTTTTAAGAATTTTTTTTTTCTGGGTAGCGTTTTTTTTAATGTGAAGTAATTTTTAAGTTATTATTTAATCAGTATGATCAACCTTGATGAGAATTACAAGCATGCTAAAGGTGTTTACCGTGCAGGCCTGTGTCCTAAAAGAAATAAAGATGCCAAAAATATTTAAACATGCATTCTTTTTTTCGAGAAAAAAAAATTATAGCATATAAAGCATCACTCGAATAATCTGAAAGTTAATCGATGAACTGCCCAGTCCCAATATGTGTTAGGTTAGGGCAGAGGGTTATTGGAAAGTCTCGTGAGAGTCACTGACCCCCTCATCAGTAAAAGAGTGTTGCAGCGGCCGATGCTGCCTGTGTCGGGGTGCGGGTAGTTTGCTAGAGTTGCAGAGTCTACTATGATTGAATAGAAGATTATTTAGCCAGAAATTTATAATATTAGCCTCTTGACATCCGTGGCTCTCCCCGAGAAAATAGAAGCGGGTGTTTTTCGCACTACCGAGAAGAGTATCCAATAACACGCATGCTGCTATTGCTCGGTTACACTCGTCTATTCCACTCACGGCAGATATATTAAAACAGTTTGTGTCACTTGTCTCTGTTGTCCTGCAAACGAACAGTTTGTGGATCGTAACTAGAAGAAGCACTTTCTCTTCATCGCATCGTAGTAGAATTGTTCCGGCTCCGAGAAACTTACCCACACCATGGCACAGTCAAGGGAAACAGTGGCTGCAGCGGAACTCAATAACACAAAAATTTCTAAAACAGCACCATCTTGTCTCCATGTGAAATATTTATATTACTGCAAAAGCTAAAAGTTAAGAGAAAAAAAAAAATGCATAGAACCTGGGGTTCTACAATCCACAGTATCAGTATTATGTAAGTATCCTGGTTGTAATTCTTTATTTTGTTGAATTTTCTTGCTGATGAACCAACTTATCGCCAACTTTCTTGGAGTGTAAACAAATGATACTTTCTGGGAATACTCTCTAGATGTTGGCGGACATAAATAGGATATTTTAGTGCATCGGCGGATGGCACTAAAATGAGAATTTACACTGAACAACCACAAACTTCGCAATGTTTTCCCGGGAATATCTTAGATGACAGTCATAAAATATCAATAAGCAGTAAATAAACTTTTGAATGCATATAGTTTTGATTCCTCGGCTCTACAATTTTTTTTCGTAGTGTCTGGAGTGCCATCTGATGGCACTCTTACAGAGCGTTCAAGTGCCGTCCGGCGGCACTCCACTCGCGCCTTTAATGCCGTCCGAAAGTCTCGTATAAAACGAATTTTCAAAACTACTTTTTGGAAGCTGTAGGGTAGCTTAGTGGAAAGGTCTCCACTCCATACGCAGCGGGACTTGGGTTCAATCCAAACTGGACATACTTTTTTTTCTTCCGAACATTTTTTTTTTTTGTTAAACATTTGGCAATATCTACGACATTCCTTTTTTACACTTATCACTAAAAAAAAAAAAAATCTTGTCGACAAAATTCACCTAACTAAATGGTATGGGACTCCCTTTCCGTAGACAGCAAGGCTCGGGTTGCCTGCTGGACGCCGCGAAGCGGTGTGTATGACGTGGGAAAAACGGGTTTATAGTTCTGTAATTAGCAGCCACATACTGTTGCCACGAAGTGGCGTGAACGCAGGTGGGGGGGGGGGGGGTGGGTTAACATGCTTCCCAGTGATACTACATGTGCAGTCCGACTTTCTTTTGGACGGCACTTATAGGCACGAGTGGAATGCCGTCGAACGGCACTCTAGACACAGCCTTTTTTTTTTTTTATTGAATCCTATAGCTTACATTCACAGAATTGTAAATTTATGACTTTCTTGACAAAGGAGCGTGATGTTCCTGAGGACTGTAATTGCCTGCGTATCATAGAACGCTAATCAATTAATATTTTGATATTTCCTTGAAAACCTTTTATTCCACGGAATGTCCCAGAAAGTTTTCCACATACATCTCTTTTAAAGATACAACTATGTAACATAAATAGTTCACTTGGAAACAGACATTTGTCATCGTGATCCATACTTCCCAATGTCTGCCGAGCAGACTACGCGTAAACACAAGTGGTTATTTAAATTTAGGCTGTATGCTGGTAACACAATTCAATCTTCACTGAAGTACCGAACAGTACCACACCATTTTCTGCTAAAGTTGTTTTCTCATCGATACTATGTGACAAAATAAACGGAAGAATTTACACTGTCTCGCACACGAACGTGGAGAGCCTATGGGGTGGCCATGCCTCTATCCCCACTTTGATGATGATGATAGTACGGCAGTAGCGCTACACCTAGGTTGATCTCAAGGCCAATAGAGAGACCTTCGACGTGGCTTGTGCACCCATGGAAAATCGTCTGGTTCTCTGAGATATAGAGGCCACTTCCCTTCATTGATGAGTTCAAAGGGAAAAAACAGAAACTTCCAGCCTCCCTGAAAAAAGGCGGGTCGACTGCTGGGTGTGGAATGACCGATGGTGGAAACACTTTGGGGTATACTGCCTAAGCTCAATGTGGGGAAGAAAGTGAATTCTGAGGAACATCTTTCAGTCTCGTCCTTTTGCCTCAGCTGTAATGTAAACTCGATAGAGCTTCTTCGTGCTCACGTGTCGCCTTTTCCTCGCCTCACCCATGAGTTCCGCTTGCTACGTTTAGCCCCTTGCCAGTCTGCTGGCATCCTTAGCTTCCCGGGGGCTACGGTTCTTGGAATGCACCTCGGAGTGGTGCGTTTAGCATCCTATCGAGGGTTTGCGTTGAAGGTGCATCAACGGCCATTGCGATGGCCTTGCTGTTGAGCGTGTGCCTTCTGCAGTGCATATTTTGCACCACCTTTCTCGGCGCGCGCAAGTAAGAATGAACACCAACATGGTGCGATGACATCACTTGCAAGCCTTGTGTACCACCCACGCATCGAAGGTGGTTATGTCACAGGTGCCACCTTCTCACGTTGTTGGATGTCGCATTCGTGGCTAAAGGTTGTAAACGTCTTTTTTGGTCTGCGCCCAAAAAAGAGGTGTGAATGCAAGTGCCACTGAGGTTGCAGCGTCCCCACTTCTGACTGCTGAAGCTTCGGTGGACTTGCGCTGGGGAGTGGCCTGCAGCAACACAAGCGTCTGGCGTATCCACTTGGGTTACTAGGATGCCGACAGTCACGAGCGTGGCTCGGAGTGTAGACGAGCACTTCAAGCTTTGTTTTCTCACGGGGCCACTGCTCCTGCCCCAGGTGGAGCTTGCCGAGATGATTGGAGAGCTGTCATTCCGTGCCTTGCAACACCTGGAGGCTGTGTCGGGCTGCGTCTGGAGAAGCGTCTGCCCACGCATGGCCACCTACCAGGAGGTTCTGGTGCAGGGCATTCTCCTGGACCTCCTGGGAGACGAGGACATCCGCGTCAGGACTGCGGTCACTGCTTCCCTCTCCAAGTGAGCCGCTCTCTTTGTCACTTGCACCCAAGCGCTGGAGCTGCTCCCTATAGCCTTTACTTTTCCAAGCGCGTGTCTTTGAAGCATTAGACTTTTTCAAACAAAATCATAATTCGAGTGTGCAGAAATCTGCAATTTCTATGCTTTCGTTCCAGTGCTCTGGCATCGAGCTTCGCCGCTTTGCACCGGTGCGCCAGGAGAAACGGCTCGTGTGTCGGAGCATCTCGATTGGCTCTGTAGTCTTTTGCTCACTATTGTGGGTTAGCTTTCTTTGGCCATAATCATAGTTTGACCCTCAATTTTAAAGGTTAAATTAAAAGCTGGAAAAGAATATCTCTAGCTATATTTGAACAAAAATTTGTGGCCTTTTCTCGCATACAGGGTTAGATCAAAAGCAAGAAATGCTTTCATTAATACATTACAGAACTAATCTTGGTGCTGCGGGCAACACAGCTGCAGCGAGAGCGGTATTCACGCGTGACGTGAAAGTGTGGCGTTAACAGTATGCCTCGACAGAGCTGTACTGAGGGGTGAAATCAACTTGGGGGCAGCTGGCTAACTCCACATCGGCTGCCCGCTTCACACCTCCGGCATAAACCTGAAATGGCAATTTGCGTGCAAAAAGTGACGTTTCTCATTTCAATGTGCTATTGGGGTTCCGTGACTAAGAGTGCACACTCCAGTAAAGTTTTATTGCCATTTCTGATATATTTCCGAAGAAATAAAACATTTCCAGCGAGCCGCCGCTCGCAAATCATACGTTTTGCGAACGTGAAACTTCTGTCTGTACCATTTTCAAACTGCGGTAGCTCCGTGCCGGTTAGGCCTCGAATGGTGATCGTCCCCTCGTTGGAAAGAGCATTTCTTTACGATTTCAGTACGGCAAACAGCTTTGTCGAAAAGTAAATGCTATACGAGGTAGAACCCTGTAGAAATAGCTTTGGGGTGCCCAAGAATTGGAATGCCTGTTTCCCAGGTGCATCCCGCAGCTGTACTATGCTGAGGAGCAGCCCGGCGAGAGCGCAGTGTCGGCCGAGGCGGCGGCGGAAAGCAGTCTCCTGCTTGGCTGGCTCCTGCAGGACACCTGGAGCTCAGGACCCCCCCGGGTACACGGCCTGGTCGCTCCCTTCTGCTGCCGGGCACAGGGCGCCGCCCATGCCGAGGCGGCCCTCTCACGCCTGCTGCACTTGCTCCGCCGTCGCCTGCTCACCTCCTCCAACAAGCACCTTCTGGTAAGCCCCTCGTGTCAAACCTTTACCAGATATTTTTTTCTGCTTATTTGGAAATAGCTTTCTCGGAGCTGTTTTTTATTTTTTTTATAAAGTGTGAGTATATGTGTAAGCTGTTTTCTCACTATACCTTAATATTTCCGCTTTTAAAATCGTGGTGTTTCTCTGATTATTCTTGTTATCTGTCATAATGTGCAGTTTATCTTTTTTCTCTAAATGCCTTCCGTAGTAAACCCTCGTTAACCTAAAGTCATAAGAACTAGAAAAAATTTGGCAGAGACACTTAAGACTGCTTACTTGTAGGAAGGTGAAACCATTCCTACTTGCGGTGCTACAAGCAGCACGCCACGTCTTCCTTTTTCACGCGGCGCTCCGGCAGTCACATTACGCTCCCCTACTGAACAGGCGCAACAAACTTCGCCGGCTTCACAACGGCTTCCACGACGAAGCAAACGCGTTGCTGTGCTTTTCTTTTTGTTTTATTTTTGAGGTGTGTCCGCTTTGACCTTCAGCGCCCCTGCAGGCTTCCGTCACCAAGCATCTGCGCTGCTGTGGTTTTCTTTGTATTTTATTTCAGAGGCGCATGCTTGATGACATATTGGTGTGACCATCTTTCGGGCGCAACGCCGCCGCTTTTCTGCGTAATGGGACATGTAAGGCTTTCGCCTTAAAAAATTCGAGATAAGCGGAGTTTTGAAACTTCAGGTACCCAATTTTCATTGCACTGATCACGCATTGGGTAAATGGAACCCTTTCAAAAATCATGCCAATAAGCAATATTTAAAATGGCAGTGCCCCTAGTGGTTCAGGTGCACTCTGGGAGCAGGAGATTGCCAATGGGTAGTTTCGGTTTGGATTTCACCGGTTTGTGCATCTGTCGTCTGCTATCGTCTCCGCATCACCATTGCTTACGTCATCGTTGATTGCTCCACACTTACGCATGATGCAGTAAGTACCCTTTTCTTCTCGTTGCTACATATCAGACACAGCTAATAATGAAGCAGTTACAATTTTGCTGGGACAGGGAGCAAGTGAAAACGCCGCAACGGCGAAGTCAAGTGAACGCAGATTGACGTACACCGAACACCGTGCCAGCCTACTCCATGCATTCGTTTGCAACCTTGAGAGCAGCCACTGAGACTAGGACTCCAGTTTTATAACACCCTTGCCTTGCCGATCGCTATTTTCAATCAGGCTAACGTGGTATATGACGAATCTCGCTGCACGAAAATGCGTTAAAGGAGAAACATGTACCTGTTGCTTTGTCACTGTGAGGAAATTGGCCACAGGAACAAGGGTGTTATAGAACTGGAGTACTAGTCTCGATAGCTGTTCTTAAGGTTGCAAACAAACGCCCGCAGTGAGCTGGCACGGCGTTCGGCGTACGTCGATCTGCGTTCACTTGGCTTGGCCGTTGCGGCATTTTTGCTTGCTTCCTGAGCCAGCAAAATCGTAATTGTTTAATTATTGGTGTTTGATATGTTGCGACTAAAGTCACAGAATGTTCCCGAGTACCGAAACTCTCAAGCTTCATATTAGAACCGAGTCGCGGCGCAGCAGTCGCTCCCCTACCCATCCCCAAATATTGCACTGCCCTGTGCAGTCCAGGCGAAGCGCGTACAGCATATCACTCATTCTTGTGTGAGCTCTTTAGTCCACTTTTCTGGCTGTGGAGATACTGGTTTGGTCTTATTAAAGTTCTTTCCTTCGTTTCCAGTGATGCTTGACTTGCTCATCACTCTCTCGTCTCTCTCTCTTGCCTTGAAGCACATCAAATTCGAGTGTTAGACTTAGCGTCTGAGGCGTAGAGTTTGAAACGCAGCACCAGCGCAACCGGAGCGAGCAAATGAGCCGGAAATCTCTTTTTGCGAACCAGATTAGCGGCTGCTTGTATAAAAAAAAGTAGAAAAAATCAATGCACTTTCCATTTGGTCTTTACTCATCAATGCCCTGAGCTTCCACCCGTGCGTACCCACCGTAGCTGTGGTAATGCGAAAACGTTTTATATATGTTTTTACAGCGGAGCTGTTAAGTGCTAGTTTTCCCAGGATCGTGTCCCCCGCAAAGAAATGTCGACACAAAACTCTGGTTGCCGCCGTCACTCATAGATGGCGGTAGCTGTCCAGAGTGTTGTGTTTGCCGATTGTCCGCTTGCCACTGTCGCTCGTAGATCACGGCAACATTTCTTTGGGGAAAGAAAAGCGGGAACGGAATGAGCGGCGAAGTGCGAAGCAGCACGAGTGGTTTTGTAACCGCCGCTATCGCCTAAAGTTACACTGCGTCGAGTGCTTCAGATTCCCTTGCGAAAGAAGAGCAGATCGCTCGCCTGGAAAGCCACCGCCAAGAACAGAAGCCACAGCTCCGCTGCTCTTCCTTTTTCACCGAAGTGGAAGGGCTGAAAGTTTTTTCTTTGGGCCGATCCACAAAATGGTGGACTGATAATTTCCACCATGGGCTCAACCAGCCAATCGGAACAGGGTTCTACGGGATTTACTTTCGGTAAGTGGACTGAGTGGAATTTGGTGTTCTGGGAACATTCAGTGACTCTAGTAGGGACGAGAAATAATAAAGGTACTGCAACGCGCGTAAGTGTGGAGCAATCCACAACAACGTGAGCAATAGCGGTGCGGAGACGATAGCAGACGACATATGCACAACCCGGTGAACTACCTATTGACAGTCTCCTGCTTCCAGAGTGCACCTGAACCACTAGGGGCACTGTTATTTTGCATATTGCCCATTGCCTTGACACTCACACAGAAGGCCCCCTTGGGGAGAACAAAATGACAGCAACAGAATTATCAACAAGCAACACTCATAAGGTGAGACAGCAAAACCAAAGTGTAAGAATGCAAAAAAACAACTTAAAAAACATGAACAGAAGAAAAAGTTGAAGAGTGGTAAATAATGTTGAGTGCAAGGGAGAGAGAAACAACAGCACCCACTGCTAAGCCCACCAAGCCCTATTGGGGGAGAAAAAGAAGCAAGACAACAAAAATCCTCGAGGCACAGCTGCTCCACACTTCGCCGCACTCATGACACAGGACATACTTTTAAACTTACTTCTTTATTGTGAGCTGACGAAGGGGCTTAAAGGGTAACTGCAAAGAAAAAAAAAGTTTTTTTAAACAGCCTAATAGACCATATGCGAAATGTAGAGTGCCATGTAGTAGTGGGCCGAGAAGTACGTCCGCCATCTTGGCAGCGGCAAGAAAAAGAAACCAGCCACCTGACCGTCAAAGACTCCATGTAAACAAGCGACCGCGCTTCGTGCAAGAGATGCGTTGCCAAACGCTTTGTTGCGTTTTGCTGCAGACGTTATCGCTGCGGACCTTCGATTTGTGCCTGACGGGAATGCAAACAGGGTTCACAATTTTTTTCTTATTTTTATTTGTTACTTGAGACTTTTGACAAAAACAATCGGTGACAATGCCAAGAAACATGCGGACGTTATCGCGCGGCGTGAAGCCATTTACAACTCTAGACTGTTCCACTAGGAAGAGCGGAGAGAGAAAACATGCCCTCCCCCTCTCACCCCGTGCGTCGTCTGCTCTGCTGAGTGGGTTGTACCTAACATCTGGCTGGCGTTAAAACTGTTTAAAATCGCATCATTTCGGAAATTTCAAGCGCAGATGTGCGGATTTTGATATGCAAGTTATTGTGTAATGCTATGCTCAATAAAAAAAACTAACCGAGTCTAATTGCAATGTTACCTGCTTGCAAATAAAAAAAAAGAAAAAAAAAAAAGGAAAAACTGTGTCAGAGTGGACGGTCGCTCCGGCAAAAAGTAAATCCGGTTGCTGTAGCTATTTTACTATACGAAGTTCGTACTGGTATAGGCCTTTAGCGACAGTGAGTGGAAGTCTAGAATAATGTATAAAAACGTGCTTGCCTGGCACAATAGACGCAGTGGTTGAGGAGCCGGCTGACTCCACTGTTATTGAAGTAACGGAACAAAGATACGCTAGTTGATAATTTACTGAAATAAAACAACGGAGTGCTAGAGGCTGATTTTGGAGTAGCCATAAATGTTCTAAGAATGAGAACCACTTCACAACGGCAGCCACGAGCAAGAGTTCAATGTTCGGTACAGCCCGCCGGTACAGCCCAAAGTAGTAGAACGGCAACCTCCCGGTTTGTCGTCTGCTAACAGAGTCGGGCGCGTGCCCTCTCTTTCGTTTTGCCTTGCCGAACCTGATGAACTTCCTGGATGTGTGGAGAGGGCGCTGCGGTGTAACAAAATGGCGCCGCACTGAGAGCGCGAAATGGAATGGTAACTGGGCCCTAATCTTTTCAGTGAGATGTGTGAGATGAGCATGGTTTCTTGACGCCACGGCTGCTCCATGGTTCCGGCCCTGACTAAAGCTGTGCCTATATTTCGTATCACTAGCTGCCTGCAGTACAGGCGAAGGCAATGCCCGGCGAGGGAAGAAAGGGAAAGTACTAGGGGGGCTGGAGAGGAAGAGAGAAACCTTCTTTCCTCTCTAATGTTTCTTGTGTTCTTCCTTTGTCCCCTCGCCTTTCATTGCCCTCCTCTTCCCTCCCACGTTTCTAGTGCTCGCCCTTTTTCTCTTCGCCTGGAGTTGTTTTTGCCTGCACTGCACACAACTAATGACACGGAGTATAGTGCGTGCATCATGCTTTCACATTCCCACACGTAAGCAGTCTTAAGTGTCTCTGCCCAATTTTTCCTGATTGCTTACCAGCTTGGGAGAAAGCGCAAAATAAAATCGAAACTGAAACTAGTTTGTCGGCTCTCTACAAGATGACGCAACTTGTTCCTGTTCACCAAAGCCGAATTTCGGTGGTGCACAGAAACCATAGGTCATGGGTGGGTTGATGGCCTATGGGTGGGGTACGGAAGGAGTTAAGAAACAAGTGACCTAAATAGAGTCATTATTGTTTGCCAAAATTATCACGAGACTACCACTTCCGCTTTCATTTAAAACCATAACGAACATGGCTGCCGGTGTTTGTGGTGAGCAGTCCCGTGCACCGCTCTTGTTGAGCTCATCTCTTTTCATGAGTGCGAGTCGTTTTGTGTTCACCGAGATGTGTAGAGGAAGATTTCTTGAACAGAGATAGTTTACAACGGACAACTATAGCAAGTACACATCTCAGGAAGCGTTGCACGAGTGCCTTAGTCCAGTACAGTGAAGCGTAGGCGGGTGTACCACTACCTAAATTGCGTTTCAAGACGTAAATAGTGTGCAAAAAAGTTTTTTGTTCGGGGAAACTTTATTTTTTCACGTATGTGTCCCGTCTAAACAGAAAAAAAAAGACCGCATCTCCACATGGTGAATTATGATTGGGGCGAAGCTCTGGTAGTGCTGATGATACTGATTTTGTTCATAGGTAGTGCTGATGGTGCTGATTTTTAAAAATTTTTATTGCTCATAGGTAGTGCTGAGTTGCGTAGGGTTGCGTTTCGACTTAATTAGCCAATGCATGCTAAGTTTAACGCGATTATCTATGCATTTGACCGCAGCGCCCTCTCCTGTATAGACGTTGAGCGGCTACATGCAACGTTTCATCCATGACAGAAACCCCAGCTCTTGAGTTACTACCACATCTCAGAGCCCCCTACTCGTCCCGCACTCGTGGCTGAGTGGCTAAGGCGATGGACTAGAAATCCATTGGGGTCTCCCCGCACAGGTTTGAACCCTGTCGACTATGCAAACATTTTTTCTTTTTTTAAGAAGACAGACCTGCACGGATGGCAATCGATGTGAGCACGGACGCCGGACAAGGCTAGACTCTAAGGAGCTTCGCTTCTAAAAAAGAAGTTTTTTTGGAAGTTTTTATTTTTTTGAAATAGTGCGAGACAGAAAAGAATATTTTAAAGAGTCCCTTTTAGTTAATTATGCTGTTATGGTTGGTTTGAGATTTTTCGTTCGAGTCAGATTATTCTTAAGAAAGGGGAGTGGAGCACATTGGTCCCTAGCGTGGCGAGGGTTGGGACAAGTCAGAAAAACAGCGGAGTTGGGTGGGGCACAGCCGGCCCTGGGCAAGGTTTGGGGGGCAGAGGACGCAGGCTTGCCCACATGCCACAGTGAGGCCCTGTTTGCAGCACGGCGTCTGCCAGGCACTGTCCCAGCTGGTGGTGGACTACCCCGTCACGGTGTACTCCTTTGCATGGACCAGCGCCCTGGGTTCGCCCGTGTCATCATCTCTCACTTTGCGGTCTCAAGCCAGTGTCAGTTCCAGGTTAGAGGCTGTAGTTGTCACCTAAAACTACTTTTAGTTTTGCATTCATAGGCTGTCGTCGGGGGCAGGCACTTTCTGATGTGCATACTGCTACTTGTGCTCGCAGGCGATAACATAGCACCTTTCATCGCATGGGTTCCATGGCTTTACCCAATGGGGTGGCCTAATACCCGCGTCAGACGGCACCCTGAAGGCCCTTTTCATTAGAAGCTATTTTGCCAAAAGAGCTGTTGTCACATGGCCATGCCATTGACCACTGTTGATTGCTTTGTGGATGATCACTGGCAGTTAAAACTGAAACTAAAAATGATATAACAAAATTTTAAAACCCATTCGAAACATTATAAGTTTAAATTATAATTCTAGTAAGAACCTTTAAATGCATGTCATTCAATATATCTACATTTTCAAGCTTTTTTCCTGTCATAGCCATATTTCGGCTGATAACTAGGGGAAATCTTTGGGTTTGCTCGGCGGCTTGTTGGGTATACCAAATTATTGCCTGCTTGCGGAAGCCTAGAAAAGTACGGGAAATTGTATCTTCCCCTAGTCGAAGTGTTGATGTTGTATGTGCCCGTGTTTAATGTTTTGCATATCTCTAAAGTCTTTCTAAAGTGGCGGGACAAATAATGGGAGGACCTCTGGAGCACTCGGAGCAGGAACCAGGTGCTAGAAAATGTACTGCGTTGCTTGCAGTGGCGCGTGCCTCTGAACACCCGATCAGATTCCTTCCGGTGGGGTGCATTCGTAAGATATGGGTAGGAAATGCTCAAAGACGTGGCCAGGAGTGGTTAGCATACCTCGCCGTTAATCGGGAGACTCCGAGTTGGATTCCTGGCCCCGTTAAAGATCCCGTTGGACCAGTAGGGATGACGATTGATGGGCACGTCAATGGGCAGCGGTGACGCGAGCATGGTGCCTGGAATGCGCCTCCGACTGGTGCGTTTACCGCATCCTAAAAAGTGGTCTTTCGATTTCCCCCTAATGGCGTCAGAGAAGTGTTACGGTGTTGCTGGCCGCAACCTTGGTGGTGTCGCAGTAGTGGTGGTGGATGCGGCAAGCACCTGTTCCGCTGCGGGTCTCTCTTCGGCTCCACAGTCCACGGAAGCTTCGACGGCCAGGATTTGGAACGCCGCGATGTCAGCGATGCTTGCATTCTTTCACACTTTTCTCTAGAGTTTCTGCGCCCAACCACCAGGACTGCGACATCTGACAGCATGAGACTTCAGCTTTTGTGACATGATAAAAGCAATAACGAAAACGGCTTTACGTAAAGAGAATAACAATTTAATTAAACATTTCGCCTCGCATCTGGGAGGCATCTTCAGCGAGGCAAAGAGCGAAATGAGAGCAGCACTCGAGTGTTCAGTTAATTTACGCATAAAGGTTTGTGGCCTTGGCGACTTGACGCTTTTGTGACATTGTTTGTTGCCACTTGGAGACCACTTTGGATGCATTGGCAGACACTAAACGCACCTGTGGGAGACGTTCCGGGTGCTGTAGCGTAAGCGGCTGCCTCCGAGGTTTGTCTGGAGAGCCTTTGCGGTTGCAGCGGCCTGCACGAGGGCTCCACGGGCGGTGGCTTGCTGGTGCACCTCGTGGCCCTGCTGTCGCCCCTGGCCCTGGACCTGCACGTGCACCAGCACCTGCTCACCGTGGCCGGACACCTGCTCGCAGGTGGGCGCTCCCCCCAATAGTTGCATGCTCTGAAATTTATTGCCAACGTGTGGATAGGTATGAATTGCAGCAGGGTTGAAAGTTGGGTTAGTTGGTAGCAGTTCATGATAAAATAGAGAGGGCACAAAAAACAAGGACGAAAAGAGAGGACATGCGTACGAAACTCGAAAAGAGGGTATCGCGGTGTCCTGCCTAGGATCGGCATTGAGCAAGTCATGCCATCACGTTGTGAAGAAAAGTTTTCATGACCAGTTAAAGAAATTGAAAGAGGCAGGTTTTCCTTCATGGGTGCTGGAGGAAGTGTCAGGGGTTTTACTAAAACGTCTGAAGGGGCCAACAAATCGTGCACTATGAAGGAAATCTGTCAGGCCAGTGGTGCTTCCGTACCTCCACGGTGTCTTCCATAATGTAAAGAACGTCACTGTGCAGTATGACGTGCCGGTTGTTTTTAGCACACCAGAAAAATTGATGCAGTTGGGCTAGGAGGTTTAAGAAAAAGGCTGTTTTTTTATGTGGAAACAAACATGTAAATCAGTTTGTCAACTGCCGAGTCGGCGTCGTGTACTGCATTCCACTGTCTTGTGGTAAGGCCCATGTGAGCCAGACTGGACGTTGTATTAATGATAGACTGAGGGAGCACTGCAACTCTCTCCGTAACACTCTGTCTGGCCACTTAGCGGTCCAATGCAGCATGTGTGAATGTTAGAGGCTTTTATTATCGAAACTTTGGGTGATGGCTGCAAAAGTCACCCATCACTTGTTTTGACAGATGCTGAGGAAGCATCCTTATCTGCAACAGTGCCACACACATGTGAAGAAGGGGATGGTAACAAAAGGGGTTCTTTCGTTTTGTTGATTAGAACTGGTAAGGGGAGGGGGGTGGGGGCATAATTGAATGACGCATGTGCAGTTGGTGAAAGGAACTATCTTCATGTTTTCCCATGTTTTAATAAAACTTCAGTTGCGAGTAAGTGCTTGTCTGTCATATGAGTCCTTTCTTTTCGTCCTTGTTTTTTGCGCGCTTTCTATTTTATCATGTGGCTAGGTGGCGAGTTTGTTTGGTCCAATATCCGAGGAAATACCTCGGTCGTGAGTTACGAAGAAAGAAAAATATTTTCCCGCGGCTCAGTTTAGAGGGGAAAAGCGTTCCTGCGAGCCGCTGGGGCATTTTATTGTATGAAACGAGGAACGAAAGCAAGGCCAGAATTACGAGGTGTGTCCGTTAAATAAACGAGACTAGTGGCAAAAGTGTGGTTTTGTATTACACTGTGCAGGGGTTCTCAAACTGGGTTCCGCAAGCTGGTCTCATGGGTTCCGCAAGCATTGAAATTGCAGTACCCCCCCCCCCCTAGTTTAACCTTCTACGGACTGAGCCATGGATCAAGCTTTCGCACTAGTGTATTTTACATTGTGCTCCAGGTCAACCCCTCTACCCTCTCATTTTGTCTGTAGTCCTCCATTTTGTGTTATTCTGTCAGTGCAATGAACTCTTGTTCACTATCTAAAGGCCTTTATTGCCCGGTATTTTTGGTTGGCAACAAAGGGAGAGGGGGGGTTCCTTGGGACTTTTTGAGGCTTGCTGGGGTTCCCTGGGATGAAAAAGTTTGAGAACCCCTGTATTACAGTATCACAAATTAACTATTTCCCCTTCAGTATACTCCCCTATCCATACACCGTTGCGTCCAAATTTTCCATTGCTGGAAACGGTGCTTGAGGTTGTCGTGCATCAACGCCTTCTGCAGTGGTACCGCCGTTTTCTCCTTTACCTCATCCACAGTTCTTGTCTCACAATTTTTGTTTGCTCTAGCGAGCTGTGACTGTAAGAGTTAATCTGTAACGTAATAATAATCGACACTTCTGCCACTGGTCTTGTTATTTAATAGACACACTTCATACTTTCTTCACTCTCTGTGCTGTTTGTGTTAAATCAAATGTCCTAAATACCCGCAATAATGTTTTAATGTGAAAGCATTAACTGGGGGGGGGGGTCCCATGGAGTGCCGCCGGCGTTGGCTGTGACTGCGAGAAATGAACGACTATTTTGCATTAAAAGAGAGGGTGCCAGCGAACGAGCAACCGAAGAGCAACTAAGGAGAGGGTGCATACGCTCGGCAGCCCCTCTCTCCTCTCTCTTGGGTCACGTGCTAGGCGTGGCTGGAGGCCTAGAGAGGGGGCTCCTCACGCGTCCTGCACTCTGCTCTCAGCCATTTCATGCCCCGAAGGAGCGGGGCACGCTGCCCGCTGTCCTCACCCGCGGAGGAAAAAGTGCGCTGCCTGCTGTCCTCCAGGCCATGGACAGTGGGTTGCACTGCTTGTAGGAATGTGCTGCGTGTAGGAATGCTTTCCCATTCCTACACCATAAGCAGTCTTATTTGTACTCCTGTAATTTTTTCATATTGGCATGAAAAAGACCTAAGTCTGCGTTGGCTCGTAGGAATATTGTGGTTTTTAGTTGTAACTTTGGATCTAGGCAAGTGTGAGCCGTGAATATTTTTAGAAAACAAATTCCCCCCCCCCCCCCCCCCCCCCCCCCCCCCCCCCGGTGTTTGATTTAAATGATTGAATTTATTTAATTCTAGCATGGACCACGCTTGTAACATAAGCTGGCGAATCCCGAATTGCCCCATGTGAAAAAAAAAGTAGAGCTACGAATGTAACGCGAGGTTAGCTGATGCCCGTTTTTCTGGAATGGGGGCCATGCAGAGAGCTAGAGGTTTTTTCCATTAGGGCATTTCATATAACGAGAGGTCCGAACCTTCATTCCTTCTCCTGCTTAGACCAAAATTTCCTGTACTGCTCCACAACGGGAACTTGTAGCAAGAGGTTCCACTGAATTGATTGCACCAGCTTCCGACTAACAAAAAAAATGCTAATCAAAATATGGCTTTATTGTTTTTAAGTTTGTTGCTCAATTTTGGCATCTGACCGTGTACAGGGGCCTGCTTTGGGTGCCTCCAGCCGCAGGACATTGAGGCCGTGGCCAGCCAGGACGGAGAGGAGCCGTGGGCCTCGATGCGCGACCGCCACCTGGTGCCGCTGCTTGACAGGCTCTTCCAGCACGCCATGAGGTGGGTCCACCAGCTCCAGGCAATATTTGAAAACGGAATATTTAGTAAATTCGTCCGAGGGTTGCCTTCTGCTGCCTTTTTGTCCGTTGTCCCTGCATTTCCAGTTCTCTTGTCAGGAAATGCCAGAAAGCGTTTCGTCAAAATAAAGGTACTAGTTTACGGTGCGTACCACCGTAGATGTTAATGCTCAAATGATTGCGGAGGCTCGGGGTGTACCTTACGATTAATTTCGATCTCCATGGAGTCGCCGAGCAGATATTCAACAAAAGAGTTCCGTCATTTCTTTCAGCAGCTTTGTTTTGCAAAATCAGTTAAGGAGTTGGTCTAAGATAATCTCGCAAAATGTGAAAAATTGGGGGCATTTGGAAATGCACTTTGTATGCCAGACACCCTAGCCCTTGTGCTTTGGTTCTATACTTGTTTTCACCTCTACGTAAAACTGTAGTAAAAGAAGTTTGACTTCTTGCTGAGCTTTTCTTATTTCCTTCTTTATTTGATGAGTTTAGGTGCTTGTACATGCATCTAAATAAAGCAGTAGAGGCTCTGGTTCTCGGAGCCTCTACTTTCTCTTTGCAGCTTCCCCCTTCCCACGTATCTGCCTAGCACGGTGGCGTGGGCCCCTACGGGCGAATCTAATACGGCAGCATTGCCATTTTGGTTTTTCTTTCTTTGTTGGCCGACGAGCGAAACGTGCTAGTGTATCCGTCAATAAACACGTTATGCTACGGATCCACAGCCAAACTGTGTTCCTACATAGTACCATCCCCAAAAGAGGAAACCCATATGGTTTTGAATAATGTATGCTATTCAATGTTGGCTTCAAGGTGAACTCTGATATTCATATCTTTTTAAGTGTTGACTGTGACGGGTTCCCAGGTAATGAACGCTTTCCAAATTATCAGAACTTTTGACGGTGCCCATGACGACAACTTCGTGGTTTAATTGCTGTTGACTGCGAGAATCATATCATGCTGTGCCTCTTTGGAAAAAGTGCAAAGTCCAGACTGATCGATTTCTGGAATTAAAACTCATTCATGTGCCACCACAACTAATATCTCATTGCTGTTTGCCAGTTTCATGACAATGAAGACAACAAATGTTTTGGCGTGTCTCGGCAATTTGGTTGTAGCGGGATTCAAATGTATCGATATTGGATTCTCAGTAAGAAATGTGACGTTGGCACACCTCTGCAGGATACGCAAGAAAAAATGTGCTTCTACACTTGAAAGGGAGTGCAGCTCATAGGCGACTGATTGCCATTAAAAAAAATCCGCCTGGTCCGCGATTGGATCCCAAAACTCTCCCAAGTCTAGCGGAGTGCTCTACCAACTGACCTAACCAGGAGCCGTCAGTCAATAGGGCAAACAAATGTTTACAGTTCCACCAGTCTTGATCATAGTCAACCGCAAGGGTTAGGTCAGTCATTAATAATCGAAAAATAATTGAATGATTGAAAAAAAAGCATTTTCAGCGGCCACCAGTTGCCTAGAGAGCGTAAGCTGCAACCCATTTCAGGTGGAAACCAATTTCTTCTTAGGTAAACCTTCTCCAACTTGGGAACTTCCCCTCAAAACACATTATGTCAAATCATTATCGACTAATCTCGCCCTTGTAGTGGCTATGATCAAGACTGGTGGTAACTTTTAACATCCCTTTATGCTACTGACTGACATCTTCTGGTAGGCTCTGTTGGTAGTGTGCTCTGCTAGTTTCAGAGAGGTCCTGAAATTGAATCCCGGACCAGGCAGATTTTTTCAGCGGCCACTAGTTGCCTTAGAGAGTGCAAGCTGTGCTTCATTTCAGGTGGAAGCCAATTTATTAATGCGAGAGCTCTCCCGTGAAGCAAAGCCGGCGTTATCTGATGTCCGTAGCAGCAAAAAACGACACCTAAACACCTATTGGCTGAGCGAAACGGCACCTGAATTCCCATTTTGGTTGAGCGAAACGGTGCTTAAATTCCCATTGGCTGAGCAAAACGGCGCATAAATTTCCATTGGCTGAGCGAAACGGCATATAAATTCCCATTGGCTGCAAAGTGGACATGCCTCAGAAAAAGTAAAACACAAAGAAAAGCACAGCAATGCAGATGCATCGTCACGGAAGCCGTGGAGCCGGCGGGGGTGCCTTGCCTGCACCGTGGGGTAGCATAATGTCACCACCGGAGCGCCGTGTGAAAAAATTGTAGAGCCATTCCACTCTGTGAATGTGGTTGGCCAGCGAAGCTATAACGACACCTACAACGATTTACCCAATGCGACGGGGCGCACACTCTTTATTTACTTTGTAACGACATTAACAACTGCTTTATGATCAGAGTGATACACGCTAAGATTTTCCGTTCTCACTGTAGAGAGATTCTTAGCTAAAGTTAGATCACTGCACGATTCCTGAATGGTGGTTGGTTGAGTTACATCGGTGAAGCACATGAGTGCAAACTTTTTCTTTAATGAATTGGATGAACCACTTGTTTTGCGGTTTCAAAATGTCCACATTAAAGTCCCCGACAATGATTACCAGTGTGGCTTGATCCATTGACAGTGAGGAGAAGTGCGTTCGCATGAAGCACCCAATGTCAAATTTGGGTGTATTCGGTGAGATGTCGACTGTGAAAATTACGATTTTATTGCTATTTTTCACAAAACACACATCCCCGCAGTCGACTTAGTCATTATGGAGTTCATACGGCTGGACACAAGCTTCATCCCTTGCGTAGATTGCGACACCTGCCGCGTGGTTGTCATCTCGCTTCGCACACACTATTCCGCTGTATCCAGTCACTTGGCATAACGAGTCATGCGAGGGATTCGAATGACGTCAACTCATTTCCCGAGCAGCTGCAACCGCAATCTGTACCGGGAAACGCATGCTCATGCTTCGCGTTGTTCACAGGCGCCTTATCATCCATCATGCGATTTTAATGTTCGTTTTGTAATTTAATACTGTGCTCTATGCTGTGTGGCCTTGGAGTTTTTTTGTTGACAACGAAACAAAGGAAACCATGGTGGGGTAGAGGTATATAGCTTCGCTGTAAAAGGAAAACATCGTGCACTGCTTGTAGGAATGCGCTGAGTGTAGGAATGCTTTCGAATTCCTTCATGTAAGCAGTCTTAAGTGTCTTCTATATCGTAAATATTTTCGTAAAAATATCGTAAATATTTTCCACCTTGGGGACTTCCCCTAAAAATGCATTAGTATATCAAACCTCTAGAGGATGAGAATTGAAGCGGAAGGGGCAGGGCGGCCAGGCTTTTTGACGGGGAGAGGCTAGCGCCTCCAGTGGGAGGCGTCTCATTAGAGCGAGATGTTTAAAACGCGAGCAGAACACAGCAGGTCGGTGCTGTCGAGAGAAAGAGAGTGACAGAGAAAGAAAGCAGATAAAAGGCGAGGCATGTTTGTTGTGCCACTATGAGTCTAGGCTGTACGAGCGCAACTTTATTTCATACAATGCACAATGCTGGTCCAATATTTTTTGCCGCCTCTTTGCGTTTATTAAAACCTCGCATGGGGACCACCAATGTCTGCTGCCATGCCCCACAGTAGCGAGGCGGCCGAAATGTGCGGGAATATGGTCTCTCGATTCGTTCCGTAAACTCCCTGGACATAGCAGCTAGGCATGGACGGAGAAGGTGCCCCAAGGCATCTCTGATATCACATACGCATAGTCATTGATATACTAATTTGTCATGGCACCTCATTATTAGGCTATTTCATGTTTCTTTTTTTTTATATCATTATACTCTATCTTGAATGCTTTTTCAATTTTTGTGTCGCCTTGGTCAATCTACTTCGTGGACCTGTTTTTACCGCTCCACTGAGAATACATTACTTCAGCGATTTTGGACACTTGTGTGTTTTGTGTCCACGAATGGCTTGGTATGCTATAAGTGTTTCTACTGTGTCTCTGTTTTTAATGCAAAAGTATTATATGCCCCATTACACGAAAATCTGGCGGCGTCGTGACCGAGCGATGTTACCAAAAAAAAATTAAAACCGTTTACAACTTCCTGTAACGCCGGATTAGAGCGCAGCTCTTGAGGAGGAGGATGGAAGGGTACTGAGGGATAGGATGGAAGGGTACTGAGGGATAGGTGACTCCCTGAGGTCCTGTGACCTCAGGGGGGGGTCACGTGAGCTCAGGGGGTCACGTGAGCTCAGGGGGGTCACGTGACATGAGGGGGTCACGTGGCCTTGGGGGTAACCCTCATGACACTCGTGAGGGTAACGCTTGTGAGAGTAACCATCGTGACCCTTGTGGAGGTAACCCTCGTGACCCTTGTGAGGGTAACTCTCGTGACCCTCGTGAGGGTAACTCTCGTGACCCTCGTGAGGGTAACTCTCGTGACCCTCGTGAGATAACTCTTTTGAAGGCAACTAACCCTCGTAACGGTTACGAGGGTTATGACGGTAACCCTCATGATCCTTGTCAGGGTAACCCTCGTGAGAGTAACCCTCGTAACCCTCACGAGGGTTTACGAGGGTTACGCGCGGTTACGCTGACGGCGACAGCGACGCCGCTCAAGCCGGAAACGGGCACCTCAGAGCTGCGCTCTAAAATGGCCGACGACGCAAAGAGTAAAAACACGTCAAAAATGCTCGGATTGGCATCAAATTTCTCAGGGAGGTTCCTGTAAACGAAATAAATTAATGGCTTTGCAAAAAAAATTTTGTACATTTCGGTCTGGGTGCGAATCGAACCCAGGCCTCCGGGGTGCGAGATGAGCATGCTTCACCGACGTTACGGCGGCTCCACGGTTCTGGCTGACTAGAGGTGTGCCTAGTGCATGCTTCATTGTACTCTGGCCAACATATATGCAAACACACACACCGAATCAGCAGAAAGAACTTTAATGCATGTCAAAAACATCAATCGAAAACATTTCACCAAAGGGACTATAATGCTTTTGCATTCCCACACTTAAGCAGTTTTAAGTCTCTCTGCCGAATTTTTTTTTTTTTTTTCAGTTGAATGTGAAATTTGCTAGTGTTACCATTGCACTATATTTAGTCGTATCATTTCTTCTTTTTTTTCTGTTTGCGCATGAATCAGTTTTATTATTTTATGTTTTACATTTCTTTTAATCTTGTGCTGTTTCCATCCTTTTTGCATGTTTGAGTCGATGTTGAGTGCTCCTTTCTTCAGGCTTCTGCTGACTCATGTAATCTTATCAACTTTGGTATGTCTAGTATTGTGAACTGTTGACAAATGCTTTAGAATCTTGCTGCTTTGTTCATGCTGCTATACTTCGAATTGTATAAAGAGTAGGGGCTCCGTCTGGCAGAAATTCCTTTTGTCCCTACCTCCTATCCTGCGATGCCGAAGAGAATCCAAATAGAGAAAGAAAGAAAGCCTGGTGCTCTGTGGATGCAGGCTCCTGAACGTGTTTGCCCACATCCTGGAGGAGCAGGCGGTCCCCACACGAGGGGGGCTCGGCCTGTCGGGGAGCCCCGCCCTGAGCCCCATCCGACGCCGGAGCAGAGGCCGTGAGGATGCTCCAGCCAGCACCGGCAACACAGCCAAGGCGGCCACGGGGAAGCCTGCTTCGGGTACACCTGCTTGTCGTGCTTGCCCGGCCACGTGGATCCCGCACCACCTTTGCGGGAATGAAGCTTCTGCTCTCCCATGCAGCTTGCTTGGGACCAATCGCCGAGGCTTACGGAAAAACGCCGGCTGATGAGGAGGCACTGGTTGCATCTGCACCTCGGTGCTCGATGTCTTTGTGTGGGTCGCGTTTCTAAGTCCGTACGTTGCCTCGTCGGTCGCCGGTCTTCCTGCATAGATCTCGATGGGGGGCACGCACAAAATAACCCTGTTCCAAACCCCTGCAATACCTCTTCATCTTTGAAGTTCCCGACTCGCTACTCGTGCCCACCCCCCTTACCAATTTTGCGGGCTCTTACGCTCTACAGTTGTTATTGCATGACCGCTCAAGTCCAGATACCTCTGTCTCTTTGTTTATTGTTTGGGGTCACGGTGTTTGACGGGTGACTTCTGCCTGCCAGATAAGGTCATTCAACCGAAAAATGTTAAGGAGACTTCCAGAACAACCGAGTTCAAAAGAACAGCCGTAGGAGGCCTGATACTGGTGAATACATGCATTAATGGAATTTGCGATGATAAAAATCAAATGTTTAAAGGGATGCTGAACTGGAATTTGGAGCTCACGAAACAAAGCTGGAGCGATAGGTAAGACGCTTTAAAATCCACAAACACCACTCATACAGCAATATCTCTAACGGATGACTGTAATTTTGAAAAAGAAGGGCGCGATTAAACATGTCTGACGAGGCTGACGAGACATGTGACATCGCAATTCTCATTCCCTCTCCTCCGCACTTCGTCTCCGCGAACAGGTGAACCGAAGCAAGAAGGAGAGAAGTGAGGCCGCTTCCCCTCATTCTCAACTGTTTGAAAAGAATTGTGACGTCACATTCCTCGCTTGATCGCGTCCTTCTTTTCTGAAAATACGGCTATCCTTTTGAGATATCGATGTATGAGTGATTCTTTGGAGTTCGTAGCGTCCCGTTCATCGCTTCTGCGGCCATATTTTGCGATATCCAAATTACGGCTCGGCATCCCTTAAGCATCCAATAGTTGCGATGGAACCATTAACAATGCCTTGGGGAAGTTGATCCTAATATTTACGCGTTGATAGAGCTTATCGAGCAAGACAAGGTCACAGCTCGAGTTTCAACGGCAAACTCCACCTTCCTGAAGCTGGTATGACACGTTTATGGAATCTAAGATGTGCAAATTATTTTATGTATAGTTCTGGGGAAACAAAGATGTAACAATCTTGGAATGTTGGGAAGCATCAAACTGAATCAGAATCAGAGTGAAAAGGAATGCATCTTCATTAGGAAGAAAAGCAGCGAGGGAGGTTAACGGGACGGCAGTAAAAGCGTTCGGCGGGCATTGGTTACGGGGATTTTTCGGTGAGCTTTTTCATTCGCTGGCCCCTGCGTTTGGCCAACTAGGGAATTGTGTTGCGTCTCAATGATTCTGCCCCAGTTTGCTCTGTGGTAAAGCAAGCTTATGGTCCTTGTGTGTGAGATTCCCAATGCATGTCCACCCGGCGAGAAAAATGGGGAAGCATATTGGGCGGCTAATCTTTCAAGGCACGATGCTTCAATTACCGTATTTACTCGCATAATGAACACTCTTTTTTTTTTTCTAAAAAATTGACGCATATTTGGATGCGGGCGGAGTAAAATTTTACACGGAGTAAAATTTTTGCATTTACACACTTCGTGCAAATGTCATTTTAGGTGCCAATATGACACTGTAGGGTACTGTGGCACATCTCGACTGTTGGAGGTGCACCCATGGCTAGTTGGGGGCGTGCCACATTAACCATGCTCTATAAATTGCTAACCTTTCTTAGGGCGCTTTCGGCGTGCCTTTTGCTGAAGAAAAAGCGCCCTACGAAGCTCACGTAGCATGGAGAGCAACGCGACCGTTCTTAGGTGTAACCACTTTCACGATATCACTGTCCGAAAGCGGATCACAGACGATGGCATGTTTGTTGACATCAATGCATCCGATGGACGAAGCACTTCCGGGGCTGGGCAGTTCCTCGACCACAGCTTTGCTAGGCGTGTGCACCGCTCGGTTTTACGGTTGATCACTTTCGCAACTATGCACTTGCAGCCATTGCGAGAGCGGCTTGTCTTGGCTTGACTTGGCCTGATTGATAGGTTGCAAAAGAAAATTGGCTTGGGGGGTTGGTGGCTAGCTAAGTTGGACGCAATTCGAGACTCGTGGAGCCGAAAATTGGGTGTGCATTTATTATGTGAGGGAAAAGAAAAAGTCTAAATATTGTACCCGTTGTGGGGGCACCCTCTACAACGGGTACAATATTTGGATTTTTTCTTTTCCCTCGCATAATAAATGCACACCCAATTTTCGGCTCCACGAGTCTCGAATTGCGTCCAACTTAGCTAGCCACCAAGCCTTCCAAGCCAATTTTCTTTTTCCAATCAAGCAATCAGGCCAAGTCAAGCCAAGCCAAGCTGCTCTCGTAATGGCTGCAAGTGCATAGTTGCGAGTGCGTTCATTATGCAAGTGTGTTTATTATGCAAGTGCGTTCATTATGCGAGTAAATACGGTACCCTTTCAGGTGTCCCTTAAAGACACATGCAAAGGAAAAAAACTTTTTTTTTTTAAACAGGCTAGATGAAAAAAGAATATTATAAAACAAATTTACAACGAAGAAAAAAAAAATTAGAGCTATCTTTACGGCGCAAAATGAATTTGTAGTTGGCGCCCGCGGAAGCCGCCGCTAATCACGTGGTAGGCCCGCGCGCCGCCGCGCTGCGTCGCCACCGTCGTAAAATCGCGCCGCCGCCGCGCTGCGTCGCCACCGCCGTAAAGTCACGCCGCCGCCGCACGCTGAGCGTTGCACGATGCCGCTTCAACGCGTTTCTACATGCCGCCGTCGCCGCCACCGCACAAGTTCGTCTGCTTTGGGGCGCCGCCGCCAACATCTGACCGGCGCACAGGTCTATCACGTCTGCTTGCGCTTTTTCTGGAGTTTCCTTTGAGCTCTAAAAGTTACTTATTAATCTTAGTTTTTTTTGTTACACTTCAAACAAAGATGAATAAGTTACTTTTAGAAGCCATAGGAAGCTTCCGAAAGAGCGCAAGCACCACGTGACAAATAAGGGCCAGTCACATGATAAATAAGGGCCACTTTTCCACGGCGCCCATGGGCGCCAACTACAAATTTGTATGGCGCCGTAAATATAGCTCTAAAAATTTTTTTCCTTCGTTGTAAAATCGTTTGACGACATCCTTTTTCCATCTAAGCTGTTTAAAAAAATGTTTTTTTTCTTTGCATGTGTCCTTTAAGAGCAGGTGTGGCAGCTCGTCATAGGTCAGTCGAAAAATTTCAACTTACCTGTATACTTTGTGCGAAGCTGATCGACACAGAGTGGGTCATGTGTCTGTGTCCACATCTCCGATTAGCCCAAAAGCCAAATGGGCAAAACAGGCAAAATAGATTCAAACGGGTGGATAGAAACGCACAGTGTATTCTGCTTCTGTCGCCTTTATGCGAAGTATCGAAGTAAGTTTTACTATTAGCGATCACGTGCCCTTACTGCCAAGAGTGGCAGTGGAGAAGAGTGTTAGCAACACAAAAGACACAATGGCACCAGTAAACAAGAAATATATTATACTCGCTTCTCACAGTTCTTCATTTCTCGTGTGTTTACTGCATGTTTTGCTATGTTGGGTTGCTGAAAAGTAGTCGGCTGAATCTCGTTAAAGGCACAGCTAGCATTTTTGTCTAATCTAGCCAATTTGCAATCCCTTCTTTTTGATATGGTGGCATATCAGCTGGAGTGAGTCCTCTCGGATATTACACGAATTTGATGGGGTGGGCGGCGTTTTAGTAGTTTCCTGTCGCAGACATTTAACCGGAAAAGTGAGATGGCCATCTTTTGGGAATGTGCAGGCACGTTTGGGACTTTTACTGTAGTATCCAGTGAATATGGTGGAGTCAGTTTTGTGGTCCTATCAGTGTTCCTCAGTTAAGCCATGTGAGATTGGTGCCCACTCATGGTTGACTTGTATATTCTAGTGTTAAACACTGAAGTTGACTCCATTTTTTTTTTTCTGGAGGTTTGTAAAAGTACGGAGAAAAAGCAAGGTAGTCTGACATATGTCTCTGAATCATATACAATACTGTGTACAACACTTAGTAGTAGCAGTGTCCTATATTAAATAGCCATATTAAAATGTGTATATGTGGAAACATTGACATTCTTGTTGAACCCACGAAACAGGACAATCTAAACTGCACTCTTTTTGCGATCGGTTAATAGTTATAAAATGTTCTTTTCAAAAACTTGGGACTGAAAAAAAAAAAAAATAAAAGAAGATGATTTTTACTGTATGGTCGAAGCGTACGCTGACATAATAATCGAAGCAAGCGATAAGAATGATATGACAATATTGCAGGATGATTATCATAGCATGAATGTGTCATAAGAACATTGTAAACCAAGTAAAAAAAGGAAAATATGCATAAACGAATGTGCGGTAAGAAGAAGCCCTAAACATGATATAAAAAGGGAGCAAACAAAGAGGATCAACTACTTGGAGTTGTGCAGCAGAAAGCCTATTTGATTGGCAGTCCAAGAACCCAGTGTGAGGGTACAAGTGCCCGACCCCCCTTCCTTGCAGAAGTGGCCAGCAAGACGCCTGTGGGACTGGGCCACTTTGCTTCCCTGCCGCAGTACCTCAAGCTCTACGAGGTCCTCAAGGCAGCCCATTCCAACTACAAGGTTTTCTTGACCTTCGAGCCTCTTCCTCTTTGATGCCAGAGATTAGTTTTAGCGGGCTAGGTTCACGCTAGAAATCTTTTCCCCTTTGGTCTTCTGTCTTTTTTTATGGCCTCTTTCTGCCTCAAAGTGAAGGCTCATATTTCCTGCTGAGAACAATGTTTTCACTGTCCCTCTAAGCAAGCACTCAACTCACTCTACTTAAGGACACAACAAAAACACTAAAAACACAACAAAAACACAGTGATGGAAGCGCTGCTCCATTTGTGCTAAATTGCACCATGAATGAAAGTCTTACTTCGCGGTCCAAAATGCCATTTTTGCGAAGAATTGTGCACCACCTGCGCCAAAACAAGCCTTAAAAAAAAATTAATTATAGTTGGCTTAAATAGTCAGGGTAGAAGGAAAGGAAATGGTACAAATATGTATTTCATTGTGCTTTGAATCAAAGTGAAATGAGGTATATAAAGATTGCTTATCAACCGCTCTGGCCACATCATCGTCTGAACTTCCAGACGATATCGGCAATGTGGGAAGCTTAAAGTCGCGAGAAAAGATTAGTAGAATTCTGGTATGGTGGCTACTGTTATAAGATGAAACCAGGGTTTTTTACTCCTGACAAGATTACTTGATTATCATGCCTGCCACGTGCCTCCACGCCGTGGCTAGAGTATACCGTGGCACTTGCGCTATTCACGTCATCCCTCGTCACTTTGCACCGTGTTGTGTCTGTCGAGCTTCACCGTTTCGCACAAGTGTGCTAGGAGGAAGGATTAACATGGGGGAGTGCCTGGGTTAGTGCGATGGGCTTGGAAATTATGCTCACTACCATTACAGGTCAGCCTCCTTTAGTCGTGGTTGTAGGTTAATTGAATTTTAAAAATCTGTGCCAAGGAAGAGAAAAAAATATGCGGATTTATATTTGAAAATCGTAAAATCTCGTAAGAACGCCCACCCAAAATGAAGAGATAAGTGGTGAAATACCGTATTTACTCGCAGAATGAACGCACTTTTTTTTCCGAAAAATCAATTCAAAGTTAGGGGGGGCGATCATTACGCGAAGTAAAATTTTTGCGTCCGTATTTACTCGCACAATGAACGGACCTTTTATCCTGAAAAATCGAAGTAACTTCTTATCTCTTTTAGCGCGGCGCCCGACCCCGTAACGAAACTAAGCTGTGCAAAAAAAAAAACTCCTGTTTTCTTTTTCTTTTAAATCCTTGTTCTTTTTTTTTTTTTGCCGTCTTTCGCAAGCTGTTTTGTTTGCTTAGCGAGGGCTCTCCGCTTATCTTTCTCATCTCCTTGCGCGCGGCGCTCGACCGCACGACCCCCCCTAACCAAACTACGCTGTGCAAAAAAAAAAAGCTTTTTTTTTCTTCTTAGTTCTGTGGGTTTTTTTCTTTTTGCCGCCTTTCGCAAGCTGTTTCGTTTCCTTGGAGGGCTTCTCCGCTCCTCTTTCTCACCTCCTTGCGCGCGGCGCGCGACCCGCCGTAACCAAACTGCGCTGTGCGAAAAAAAAAAAAGTTTTTCTTTGTTTTCGTTTTCTCTTAATTCCGTGGCTTTTTTTTTTTTTTTGCCGCCTTTCGCAAGCTGTTTTGTTCGCTTAGAGCGCTTCTCCGCTTCTCTTTCTTGCCTCCTTGCGCGCGGCGGCGCGCAAAGCCAAAGTCCAGACTAATCCAGACAGCGCTGTGCAAAAAAAAAAAAAAAAAAGCTCCTCTCCATGTTTTTTTTTCTTGCTTCCGTTGGATCTTTTCGCATTTTCTTAACGCCTTTTGCAAGGCGTTTTGTTCGCCCATTCTGCCCATGCATTCGCGACCTCGCTGCACCAGGATAAAAAGAATGCGTTCATTTCGCGCGTGTGGGGGGAGGGGGTCAAAATTTTGACATCCGAGTTGGGGGTGCGTTTATTACGCGAGTGAAAAAAAAAGTCGAAATTTTGAGAGCCGACTTGGGGGGTGCGTTCATTACGCGAGTGCGTTCATTGTGCGAGTAAATACGGTACATGGGGGTGGGCTATCTTTGGGGATGCCACAGCAAAACTTGATCAAAAATTAATGATAAGCACCGGGACACCCGCTACAAACCATGTAAGGCGGGAACTGATATCGCGGACGCAGCAGATTCAAGTTTCATGGTGCAATAAGGACGTGGGAACTTGCTACAGTCTTGCCTGTCACGGAAACCGATATCGCGCACGCAGATTGTGGACAAAAACGCGGGAATATGCTACAAACTCGCCTGTCACGGAAACAAATACCGCAGATCGCGGACGCAACAGAATCGCATTTCGTGATGCAATATACACGCGGGAACAACTCACGCGTGTTACAGCTAAGAATCAATATCGCATGCGCAGATCGTGGACAAAAACACGAGAATCTGCTACGAACTTGGGAACGGATACCGTAAATCATGAACGCAGCAGATTCGCATTCACGATGCAATATACATGCGGGAACAACTCGCGTATTATGGGAGCCGATATAATGCGCGCAGACCACAAGCAAAAACGCGGGAACCCGCTATGAACTCCCTTCTGGGACGTACCGGTACCACAGATCGCGCCGTTGATGCGCGATTCCCGTCGTACATCGCTTGACGTCCAACGAGAATGGGGGTGGGTGATGTTTCGGAATTTCCATGTTACAGATTTTTAGCCAAAAAATGGGATGGGCGATCTCTCGGGAGGGGACATCCTTACGGGATTTTACGGTGAATACGGTAGTCAAGATGAAAGGGCAGCAAACTTTGACCCCGAAGCACAACTGTAGGTTTTCGTAATATTTTAAAAGGATTTTTTTTGCAGTTTATGATCTTAGAATTTTGAGTTTGGTAGGCTCCTTAAACTTGGCTCGGTGGCTCCAAGGCGGGACACTGGGCTGCGGATCCCGAGTTGGCAGGTTGGAGTCTTGGCCGTGGTGTCCGCAATCTGATGGAGGCCCATTGCAGGATCGGAACAGATTTGGGTTGCGCATCGAAAGAGGCACGGGCGGTGGGAACGAATTGGGTTGTGCCCTCGGTTTGTTTGGCACATGCGAGCCGTCACCTGGACTGCCCCCCCAGGTGTCGCTGGACTCTGGCAGCAGCGAGAAGTTTGTGGGGCTGCTACGTGCGGCCCTGGTGGCCCTGGGCCAGCTGTTGGAAGTGGCCCAGCTGCAGGACGTGCACGGCCACGTGGAGGAGTTGCTGGGGTACCTGCGCCTGGCCATGGCCGTGGAGCCCCTAGCCACGGTGGAATGTGTGCGCCAGGTGAGCCTCCAAGCACCCATCGTTCTTCGGGGACATGCAAACAGAAGGATGCCTCCTCGACGGGAAAAGAGCAAGGCGAACAAGTGTTAGCGTTTGCAGTGCCTCCACTATAGTGACCTACAAAATGACAAGGGTAGGGCATGTCTTTGGAACGCCTTGCCTCTAGAACCTGCTCCGTGCCTTCTGCCTTGCTTTGACCGTTTGTGCGCACTCGAGGTACACAAGACGCCCAAGTGTCATTGAAGGAAGGAAGTTTATCATGATGATTTTTACCCAAGCCTGGGGCAGAAGGAGAAGAGTGGTTGTTTGGGCGAGTTAGTTTGACATCTTATGCAATCTTGTGCGCAGCAAGGATGAGGACAAAAGGGAAAACAGGACACAACGAGGCGGCTTCCTTGATTTGCATTGCAGGACTTGCAGTTGTACCCCACTGTTGGATGGATGCATAAAAATGAGAAAATGCAAGTCAACATTAACATTTGAAATTGTAGAAGCCCAACACATTGATTATTTAGGAAACATTTGTGTTCCTAAGCCGTCGATTGCATTATCGGAGAAGGAGCTGGTTTTCCTGAGAACGAGATAGGGTTTTTCCCAATAATGCTCTGTGATGGTTGTTTTCCTTGCTTTTGTCGTTGTGTTTGTTGTCATTTTTAGTTTTGTGACGATGCTTCAGACTACAAATACCAGTACACGTATTCAATAAAAATCAGTTGAGAGTTGCGCCTCGTTGTGTCCTGTTCTCCCTTTTGTCCTCGTCCTTGCTGAGCACAAGTTTGCATAAGAAGGCAGAAGGAGGAAGACTTTTTTTACAGTGGAAGAACAAGTAACAGGGACAGACAACCCTGTCTGGCACTCTTACTTTTTCTTCCACTGTAAAAAATTCTTCCTCCTTCTGTCCCAGTCACGGGTTAATATCAATGCGGTAAACTTCCACCAGGTCGCCTGCGCACTGACTGTAATTTCGTGAAGGTAAGAAGCTTGTGCTGGAGGGGAAACAGCTGAAACACCTCCCTGCCGTTCTCGGCTTGTCAGTGACTGGAGACGCTGCCACTTGCGGCGCTCATTTTTGGCGGTGGTGGCGGTATTGAAAAGTTGGGAAAAGAAACGAAAGAGGATACAATTTTAGGAGATTGTTGCAGATAAGAAAGGCTGAACCGTCATTGCATTGTGCAGAACTTTAAAACGAGATACAATTTTAGTGTGACACATCACCGCCATCTAGGTGCATATAATTCGGAGCGGGTCCAAAATTCTTGCCCAAGGTGGGATTTGTTCTTGCAGCCGCAACTAAACACGAACGAAAAGATTGTCGGCAAAGAGAAAAGGAATGAAAAAAAAAAAAAGACCGTATCTCCACGTGGTGAATAATGTTGATTGGGGCAAAGCTCTGGTGTTGCTGATGATACTGATTTTGTTCGTAGGTAGTGCTGATGGTGCTTCCGAGCTCTCAACTCTCGGTCCGCTTGGCGTTTTTGACGCTTTGCAGCAGCTTCTCGCGCCCTGGTCTCCGGAGCAACTTGCTGTCTGCGTAGACGCTGAGGCGCAGCATGCCGAGCTTTTCGTTCGTTTTCATCCATGTCAGAAAGAGAATGTGGTATGGAATGTGGTTATATACGCATTTGAGCATTTGACCGCAGTGCCCTCTTGTCTATAAACGTTGAGCCAATGCATGCAAAGTTTAACGCGATTATATACGCATTTGACCGCAGCGCCTTCTCCTGTATAGACGTTGAGCGGCTACATGCAACGTTTCATCCATGACATCCCCAGCTCTTGAGTTACTACCACATCTCGGAGCTCCCTACTCATCCTGCAGTCGTGGCCGAGTGGTTAAGGCGATGGACTAGAAATCCATTGGGGTCTCCCCGCAGAGGTTCGAATCCTGTCGACTGCGCAAACATTTTTTTTTATTTTAAGAAGACAGATGGGATGGCAGACGATATGAGTACGGACGCCGGACAAGGCTAGACCCTAAGGAGTTTCGCCCCTAATACTTTGGAAACCTATCCGGTGACTCATATTTTTTTTTTTTCTCTGGATGGCACTGCATGTATAGAAACAGTACTGACTGCGTTGAAATGGGGGTTTGAATCCTTCGATCAAATTGATCAGTTCAAATACTACCCAAGTGCAGTAAGGAAAGAGTTAATGCTGTTATTTTCTAAGAGTTATTTTCTCAAATAAAATTTATTTATTTATTTATTATTTATTTACTTCCTCAGGGCCCAAAAGCATTGCAGAGGGTAGTGGGCTGGGATGTCTGAATACCATACATAAGAGGTCCACAATTTTTTAGGATGCCTAATGTATCGGTAGGCTTGGGCAAGCCTACTGATGGTTTGTAGGCTTGCTAAGCCAGAGTCAAATACAAAGCTACTGAACCCAAATTGGAACCAAACGAGAACAACGAGAGTGTTTGAACTAAAATAGGGCTCTTTGTTTAATGATGGAATGGTAAGAAAGAAGGCTAGTTGGGGAATACTAGACACAGTAAATTCTCAGCACTTGGGCTTTTACAGTGAAGCTGTACTATATGATTGCAGGTGGGATTTTTTCGTGTCCGTTGACAGAAAACCCACGCACGCACCTTATCACTGTTCGCGCATGCCTTATCGTTTATCATGTGGTTTTGACACTTGTTTCAAAAAGAAAAGCTCTAAGCAAGTGTCAAAACCACGTGATATATTATTAGGTGCACGCGAACGATGATAAGCACATAGCGTTCCCCGCATGCGTTTCTCGGTAAAGATTACGGTTGCATAAGCTGCCGCGGCAACGGCAGAGCATGAAGTGTGATGTGACTAGTCCTGCTAACAATGCGAAGCGCGTAGCACTCCTCGCATGCATTTCTCGGTAAAGATTCTGGTTGCATAAGCTGCCGCGGCGAATGCAGCGTACAGTCTTTCATATATAAAAAGTTTTGGTACAGTGAATTTAGTTTTCTTTCGGCAATGATTTGGTATAGACCCTTTTGCTGTTTACAAATATGAACTGCCGCCTGCGTCCCAAGCGACTTCTGGTCGCACCGTCTTTGCAATCCTGTTGAGCTTCCTTATGTCACCAATGCTAGAAAGAATAAATGCCTTTGGGTGTACAATATTACATCTTGGAGGAGGCAGGTTGGTTTACAACAATGCTCGAAACATTTTAACAGATCTCGCACTCCTTCATTCTTTTGGCGTTCACCTGGAGGATTGGTGGTTAAATATTTTATCTACATTTCTAGCAGCGGTGTTAAAGTGGCCTTTGTTCATTCTTTTTATAAACCGGAAGTTCTCTGGCACGTCAAAGACTGGAGCACCACCTGGTGGCTTTTGCCATAAAAAGGGTCTATAGTGCAGTGGGCAATCGTTGCAGGTGATGCCACAGCTTCGCTGTCCAACCACCTTGACAGCGTGGATTGGAGCCCCAACTTTTTGACACAATAATTACATCCACAGCTTTCATGTCATAGTCTCTATCCTTTTGTTGCGCCGTTTCCTTTTAATTAATCATTTTGTTTGTTTTATTTATATTAATTATTTTAATAGCACTTGACTTCAGGAGGCATTACAGTGGAGATAGCCCAAGTGGAAAAACAATATGCCACCGCATTTTGATTAAAATGGCGAACAATCACAGCTCCCAGGCGAAAATCAGTCCACTTCCAGCTGGATTATGGAACTGGAAATGAGGCAGTTCATCTGGATTCCAGCTGGGCCCTGCTGGGTCCAGCTGGGCTCTGCTGGGTCCAGCTGGAATCCAGCTGGAATCCAGCTGAACTGCCTCATTTCCAGTTCCATAATCCAGCTGGAAGTGGACTGATTTTCGCCTATGTAGTGACAATGAGTGTCTCGCCTCCGGCCACGACGAGAAAAGAGGGGACGGAGGAACTCCCCTCTTCCCGAGAATTTCTTTTGTGTGTTCCAGAAGTCGCTATTGTCCCCCTACAAGATTATAGAAGATTAACCTGTCATTCAAAATTCGTACAAAAGCAGCCGCTTCGGTGTTTGGAACGACTAGGCCATCCTCTTGACGTCAGCCTCGCCGTAGCTTTTCTCATCCCGAGACGAACTAGTCACGATTGCATGAGATGTCACGTGGTCTCCGCTGGCTGTTCTCCGAGCGCTTGCCAGAGTGGGCCGTTTACAACGAAAAATAGAGCCACCAGGCTCAAGATACAAACGTGCAATTGTCATTTATGGATATTGTGGATCATATTCAACCTATTTTTGAGCATAGCGGGAATATTTCAAATTTTTGTTGAAGTATCCCTTTAAGGCAAAGCTTGAATTGAGCCACGGTTTTGGGCAGTCCATGGAGGTAGGAAGCTTCTGGAGGTGACATGAGGCCACCGGAGGTGAAGTCAGAAGTGGGGATGGACACGCCACGAACTATGGCCACCATTGTTGGGGGGTGTTCCCTCCACACTTCTGACTTCACCTCCGGTGGCCTCATGTCGCCTCCAGAAGCTTCTTACCTCCACGGGGAAGCCAGATGGCTCATCTCTAGACGAGTCTGTGGTTGGGCTGAAAGTGGTGAGCCCTGTGCGCCTGGGACGCAGCTGCTGAAGGCCCTGTTTGGGACGAACCTGACGAGCCTGTGGGAGGGCACCAGTGAGGCGCTCCCGGCCACCCTGGCGCCCTCGACGGGGCTGTACCACAACTGCTGCTCGGGTCCCTACGCCGGCCTCTCGAAGCTGCTGGCCGGCTACAGCGCTCGGTCGCCTCTTCTGACCGCCGATGCCACCGCACTTGGAAGGTGGGGGGCCCTTTGTTGCCTTTGAACCCGTTTGGGGACCGAGAGAGCGTCGGCAGATGTTGCCACGGATGCGTGCTCGCACGGCCAGGTGTTTCTTTTACGGCATCGCTGCGGCTGCTGTGTACTCGCGGTGCCACAGAAACTTCGTTGCCCTATGGTGGGAGGAGTCGCGTAACCGTGTAATCACTGTCTATTTATTTATTTTGCGTACTGTTGGCCTGTGGGCCGTCGGAGGGAGGAAATGAAAACAACATCGGTGTAGATTTGACATCTTTATAGATGTGTTTGCATTGGACACGGGGTTCGTACAGCTCCTTGAAATCCTCGGCTACACGGGATTTTGATAAAAGCCTCTTAAGGGCCCTCTGATCTACACGAAACTAGCAATGCTGCTTGTATTCCTTGAAAATCTGGAAATGAACATGTGTGCGAATCATGGCGGTTTGAGAAGTTAGCTCCTGGGATGCGTACGCTGAGACTTCAAAATGCAGGCAATCAAATAAAAAAAGAGCGGGTTGTTTTTTTTGGAAACATTGTTAATATGCATGAAAGGGGATACACTTCGCTTCTTTTGTCTTTTCCGAGCCATGGCGATGCAAGTAGTGTTGCGCAGCATTATTGCGGGAAAAAAGTGCCCGCCCGGTAGCTTTGACAACCGACATGGGAGCATACTTTTTTGCCACTAGATTCATTGCTGTCAGACCCTGACCACCGGAAAAAGCATTTTTTCTCCTAAATGTGCCGTGCCTGCTCTGTGCGCAGAAAACATGTCTCAGAATTTTAATCGGGCTAGGATTTTATTTTCACAGTTTTCGTTGTCAATTTGCCCATACTTGCGAAAATTGTTGTCATGATTGCATCATGCAGCATCTGCCCGTTTTAAAGGGCGCTTAAATCCAATCCAAGGCATCCCGCGTCGTCGCCACTTTTGCTTTGTGTTGCCTTTATTTTTTTCTTCAGATACCCTTAAAATCCTTGAAAAGCCCATGAATTTTGTATAAAAAATTTTGTATAAACCCTGTGAACAGATTAATTTTAAATACAAAATGGGCTCGATCCACACATGCAGGAAGGCACATGAACAGCGTATAGAAGATTGAGACTAATAAACATACAAAGAAAAAAAAGAAAGAGCCACGAAGGCATGTCTCGGCATGCAACATTTCAATGCTATGGGTTATGTCACTTATGTGACCATGTAATCACTACATTTTACGTAACCACGTAAGCCATTGGGGGGGCTCAACCAGTGATGTTTCGTGGACCCCTTATAGATTGGTGGAGATGATGGAGGACCCCGTTTATGGTAAGGGTAATGATTTAACACATGCATATAACTAAGCGCTAGTGTAAAGTAGGCTTCTTTCATTGACTTACACTCGAGAAAACTCCCCCGAAAATTGGAACATTTCTTTTCAATCTGAAAAAAGACAACTTTTATTGCAGGGCTTACTGATGAGGCAGGGCTTTGCTGAACCCTAGAATGCCTTTGCAGACCTCAAAGGGTCCGCGGGCCCTCATTTGAGAACCACTGATATAAGCTATAGCTATATGGTGCAGTGTTGTCACGTGACGTCATTATACGTGGTCACATGATGTCATTATACGTGACATGTGCAGCATGTCTTTCGAGCTCAGAGACAGCCATAAATAAATGCCCTGCGCAGCTCAAAATGTGTTGCACCTTCTGTGTCTGCCGACTTTATCCGTGGGATTAAGATACGTTTAAATTTTGGTTTTAGATTTGGCTGCGATCTTGTGGATATTAACATAGAAGAACTGTGCAAGAGAGAGATGTTCCTCCTGCACAGGGTGCTGCGGTCAGGGGCCAACTGTATCATCGTCACGAGCCAACTATGCTTTTTTTGGGGGGGGGGGGGGGGTCGTTTAAATTTTTTTTTATTATAGATATTTATGAACATCATTACGAGTCGGGTTCTGCGTTTTCGGAGTTCATTTTTCACGAAATTCTGAGGGTGCTGTTCAGAGTTCATTTTTTGCCAGAATATCAGAGTTTATTGGAGTTTGTTTTTCTTGGATACTCAATTCTCCGGAACTCTGTTTAATTTCACTCTGTTCCCCATTTATTTTAAAATCTCACTCTAAATTCGTAGGAGCTGTCCAGCATCAAATTATATTTCTTCAGCTGGATTCGGCATTAACTCCCTTGACATTCCTAATACAAAACTGTCCCATGATGAAACTTGCAAACAAGGGGCGCTTCAATGAACATTGATACTTTAAAATCTATAAACTCGCGGACATAGTAGCCGAGAAGGTCGCTTTCTTGTGATACCATTCCCCCAGCCTACCTCGCTGTTGTGCGGACCCGGGGAAGTGGCGGAGGGTGTAGAAGTTTCAGCTACACATTCCCTGAGTCTAATAAAATTGATAGGTTCCTAACTTTCACTGTTATAACAATACAATCCCTCTTTTTCTTAGGGAGCAAATCTACTATGGTCCAAATTCGAAACCCAAACAGTGGCTTTTGTCGTGACTCAGAAGTAGACTGACCCGTTGTCCTGACCTTACCTTGAAGGGATAAGCGGTGCACACTCTTTTGGCAGTGATTTGAGATTTTAACGGACACGAGTGTTTTTTCCTCAGTACCAATAACCCTATGCTCTGAAGAAGCTTATTTCTAGAACACAATTTTTTTGTACAATGTGATTCAAAATTCGGAGTTTATAGAATAAATTCGAATGGACGAAAATTTGACTGGCGAGTGTTTTTTGGGGTTTTTTGGATTTATCCGAAAACACTGAACCCTAATTATAAGGAATCTGCACAGCTGTATTTTACATTTTCAAAATAATAGCTAAAGAGTGACTAGGAGCCTTCGACACATGGCTTACTGAGTACAGCTCTACCATCGGAATCGGGCAGTGGCTCGACTGGCTAGGGGGCTTTTAGTTTTATTCTTAGTTCATTTTCTTTTAAAGGATTAGGGCCGCAAAGTTCCGTCATCGGTGCCGCCACCAAAGAAAGGTTTACGTCGCTATCCTTTGCTCGGTTCGTTAACTGAATGTCTGCATTTTATTGCAAGAAGTGATACTGCGAGCAAAGAGAGCACGACTTAACCTGCCCCCTTGTACAAACAGATTGGGTCAGCACTTTACTGTAGCTTTCACTATCCTGTTGTATGCATAGTAAACGTGAGGTGTTTATCGCTGCCCTCTCACCATATGTTTCTTCTTGGAAGTTTGCAGTTGCACTCCACAGACCAAACATAGCCCGCTTGCATAGCAATGAGCATCGTGGAGCACTGTGCTCACTGCTGCGCAATGGACCACAAAGGACACTGCGAGCCAGGAAAGCCAATCCAATGCCACGTGAATGTCATGTGACCTCCGGGAGGGTATGTTCATGGCGCTGGATTGGTCTAGGTGGCTCGTAGCATCCACTGCAGTTCACCATTGGGTCAAAAGGTGTAGTTGGCCGAGTACAGCCCTGCACGCACGTGTAGAGCCTTTGTTCGGCATTGCAGTGGCGTGTGTGCCACATGGCACGGTTGCGATGCAGTTGGCTGAGCTGGATGAGGCGCGGCTGCGAGAAGAAGATCTCGACGCTGCTCAAGCCCGGCAGCAAGAAGGGCAAGGCGGTTCTGGCGGCCCACATTCGGCTCTTTGAGCCCGTCGTGCTCCAGGTGCGTATGGAGGGCCCGGGGAGAGCCGCTCTGGGCACATGGTGCCTCTCTAGGTGCAGAGATAAGGGAGGGGGAACATTAAACGTCCCCCAACGAGATTCTAAGCTTTGGGAACCGAAAGGTAACTTTGCCACGCCAAGGGTGAAAAGCGTGCGGAAAACAGTTTGACAATGTTAGGTTGCCATGTCGCAGGTGACTTTGTGGAAAGATTCAAAAGAGCTGTGGGAGAGTGAGGAAGCATATAGTCGACTGCTGGACTGTATCAAGAAGGCAAATAAACAATTCCAATTAACCACAAGTCGGTACAGAATGCCGCAGAACAACACATTCTGTTTTTACTGACTTTATCAGTAGGATCGAAGTAAATTTTCTTTTTTATAGCAGGTCAGAGCCTGGAGACTGCTGTGTTTTTAGGCTTTTTGAAACCTAAACTACCGTGGAGCTGTTACCTTGCAATTTACAGTTTCTTCTGTTTTTCTAAAAGAACGTTGCTGTCAAGAAGTGCTCTCCTTAATTAAGCATTGTTTCAAAAGGTGTGCCCAAGTTTCATATGCTGGGCTTTTCTGATGGGGAATCTCCTGGTATGACCATTCTTAAAATAGGGTTCTACAGGAACCCATAATTATGTTTGTGGACATATTCTACTAAGATGGTATGTACACTACTCATAGGATCCTTATGCCCAAATAGTATTTAGGAAGATACAGACTCAAACCGTTGAGGACTAAAATACCTAATGTTGTGCTCAGTCTACTTCGTTGAAACTAAGTGTGCAAGCCCGACTTCTGTCAAGTAGGTAAATAAGCTTGCCCACAACTTCAGGGGTAAAAGAAAATACAGTAGGACCCCATTAATACATTTTTGAGGAGATTGGGATAAAAAAAAATTGTGAAAACAAACACCTTTTAGCACTTGTTGGCCTATAACAAGACATGATGCAATTCTCACCTACAATTTATCATTTTTAGTGTCAGATGAATTTTCAGGACCGTGGACAACCACCATAGTATTTATTAAAATGTCAAAAAACTTTTTTTTTAGAATTGTTTTTTAAAGTTAATTGCCAATCTATAATTGCAACCAAAGAATGTCGACCAATTCACGACTTTAGCGACCTGTAGGAGACGCCACATGCAGACAGACATGGTGGCTGGAAACAGGTTGTCGGACCGGCTAAAGGGAGCTGCATTCCTTTTTGTAGATGTTTTTGGTTTAATGCTCTATTTTCTAGTTTAGGCTGCAACGGTTAAGTGTAGTTGGCACACCTGAACTACAGAGTATAATTTTCTTTTCCCGGTGCTGTCTAACAACTTTTGGTTTTTGGGATTTAAGTTGAAACCGAAACTGAGCGTGCTCCGGAGCGGCGGTAATCGGCTCAATCTGCTCTGGTCAGTTAACGGCAGTAGCAATGGCAGCAACGGCGACAGTGCTGAACCATCAGGTGTGATGTTTAGCTAAGTCGCACTAACCTCGACTGTGCAATTTCTCATGATGGGTGGAACCAGCTGAACATTTAAGGAAGGAGACACAGAAAAGACAACCACTCGCTGGACTACCAACTATTTTAATAGATCGTCCTCCTCTTCTACTAAATCTGATGCGTATCAATTTTTTTTTTTTCCCTCTTTTTCTTATTCCTATTTTTACTTAGCAGAGAGGGCGCCCTTCAAAAAGAGCTTTTCTTGCGGTTGTAGGGTTATTGAAGCGGAGCTCACGCAGTTTTCTTCTTCGTTGTCTATAGCCAAGGCCTCCAACATCTCCCTTGCAAGCTGGTTTTTATGGTGCCCTATGGTGCTGGCTTGCTCAAGATTTGGTTTGCACTTGCAAGTTCTACAATGGGCAGCTAGGTGTCCTGGTCCCGCGAGATTTTTAACGTTGGCCGCATGTTCACGTGCACGGTCATTTATGCATCTCCCCGTCTGTCCAATATAGCATCGTCCACAAGTTAACGGTATGCTGTAAACGACTCCTTTTTGGCACGGAAGGTATTTTGTCTTGTGTCGGGTGTCACACCTGTCTTTCATGTCCGTTTGTGTCCGATTAATGTTGCGGCATAGGGAATATGCCTTATTGGGGGCCGAGCACACAACTTGAACGTTTTGCCGGTTTGCTATTTTTTCAGTTTGTGGGTGACCCCATGAATGTACGGGATTACTGCGAAGGGCATCTTTGTTTTCCTTGCTTGTGCGTCACTTTGGGCATTGTTCTTCTTGACACTGCGGCATATTTTTTCACATATGGAAGCCAATAAGGTTTTTGGATATCCGGCATTGTGAAGTCGGGAAATTTGTGCATCAAAGCTTTGTTGGACTTGATGGGGGCAGGTCTTCTTTAGGCTTGCGGAGAGGGCTGCGATGGCCACTCCTTGCTTAACATTTTTTGAGTGTTCAGAATCATAAGGAAGAAACCCTTTTCCCGATCGTGCTTGGTATTGCCAACAGACATGCCCTGCTTGGAATTTTAATGCCAAATCAAGAAACTGAATTGATTTATTCACTGGAATTTCGTGGGTGAAAGTGAGGCCCATGCAGCTATTTTTGAATTGTGTCAAGGTGGTTTTAAGGCATTCATCGGCTTGTTCGTCGACTTCTGTGGTGCACAAAAAAAGAAAGTCATCTACATACCTAAAAATAACCCCTATTCGTGCATCTTGTATGGCTTTCTGGATGGCTATTCCACACCTTGCAAGAAAGATTTCGCATAGATGCGGGGCTACTTGAGAGCCAATCCAAATGCCACTCTTTTGCACATACTGGTGATCTTGTTGGGCCACATTCTGGTGATCTTGTTGGGCCATATCCAAAAACCTTATTGGCTTCCATATGTGAAAAAATATGCCGCAGTGTCAAGAAGAACAATGCCCAAAGTGACGCACAAGCAAGGAAAACAAAGATGCCCTTCGCAGTAATCCCGTACATTCATGGGGTCACCCACAAACTGAAAAAAATAGCAAACCGGCAAAACGTTCAAGTTGTGTGCTCGGCCCCCAATAAGGCATATTCCCTATGCCGCAACATTAATCGGACACAAACGGACATGAAAGACAGGTGTGACACCCGACACAAGACAAAATACCTTCCGTGCCAAAAAGGAGTCGTTTACAGCATACCGTTAACTTGTGGACGATGCTATATTGGACAGACGGGGAGATGCATAAATGACCGTGCACGTGAACATGCGGCCAACGTTAAAAATCTCGCGGGACCAGGACACCTAGCTGCCCATTGTAGAACTTGCAAGTGCAAACCAAATCTTGAGCAAGCCAGCACCATAGGGCACCATAAAAACCAGCTTGCAAGGGAGATGTTGGAGGCCTTGGCTATAGACAACGAAGAAGAAAACTGCGTGAGCTCCGCTTCAATAACCCTACAACCGCAAGAAAAGCTCTTTTTGAAGGGCGCCCTCTCTGCTAAGTAAAAATAGGAATAAGAAAAAGAGGGAAAAAAAAAATTGATACGCATCAGATTTAGTAGAAGAGGAGGACGATCTATTAAAATAGTTGGTAGTCCAGCGAGTGGTTGTCTTTTCTGTGTCTCCTTCCTTAAATGTTCAGCTGGTTCCACCCATCATGTATCATAGCCAACTAGCTCAACTAATTCCCGTAGTATGCAATTTCTCTTCCTGCGATTTTGATCGAAATCAAGAAACAGCTCTGTTGGTGGCTAAGACTGCTTAAAAATAATGAAAATGAGGCCTGTGTGTCTTCAGCAGCAGTTGACCCGCAGGCTGGCACCCCACTAAGCCGCTGATAATTGCATTTTAATTCAGGTTTTGGTAGAAACCATGAGTTCGTTCTGACAAATATGCCGGCTATGATCCTATTGCCGTAATATACTGCAAAAGCGCCCACTTCGTTCAAGCGTCCACTAATATTAACATTTCCCAAACTTGGGAATTCTGCAAATTATACGCTAACCGCCTGATTTGATCGGACAAGCACCCATGTCTAGATTAACCCAGTTTTCAGTGAGAATGAGGTGGGTGCTTCCCCGGTATTTTACGGTATGTCCCACTTTTTTTGTAACTTGTTACTTCTTTTTTACTACTGTCCAGACCAGTTATAACGAAGTCAACGAGATTTGGAAACCGCTTCGCTATATCCGCTATTTCGTTATAACCGACTTCGCTTAACTAAGTTAAAAAATGAATGAGGAATCGTGATCGCTTCTCTGTAGCTGCTATTTCGTTATAACCGGTCTCGACAGTATCGCAATTTTCAGCAGCCTATCCATTGTGTAATGCCCTATGGTAGGGCCTTCAAGGTGTAATAGATAAATGTAACGTGATACTAGTATTTTGCATGCATGTGTGAAGAGTGGATTTTGAGTTCAAAGCCAATAGTGGTTTTGGCTAAATATTTTCGAATTTAATGTTCAATAGTTTCACTAAGCCTTTCACTACTGCACCATGCTGAAACGAAAGCCCAGCCAAACTCTTGAAGGTTGTTCCCAGGCTTCCAATTGTGAAACATTAATTCTAATCTGACTATATTCATCGACTGTAACCTCAAAAAGTTCAGTGCCTACATTGGGATGGCATGTAAACAACAGATTTGACATAAAATTAAACCCATAGAAATGCCCAGCTATACCTAATTGAGGGGATTTATAAATAATCTTGCTTTGTGAAAATATATATTTATTCAATCAGGAATGATGGATGCTGGTTGTCAGGGCATCTCTGCCTAACATATACTTATGCATAATAGCCAGTTAAATTTTGAAAATTTTACTGCAATGTGGATGTCAACATTTACAAAGTTTTAGTTTCTTTTTAAACACCTGTTTTGAAAGTGTGTTTTTCTCCTAAGCACGCGGCTGCAATTTTTGTGCTTTTTGACATGTTGATCGCAGCAGGTTAGCCTCGTTGAGTGTGCTTCCTACCAAGCACTGGTGCACTGTGGAAAAACAACACCCGCGGAATCTTGCTTTGCGGGTATTGCTTCTCTGCAGTGCACCGATGCTCGGTAAGAAGCACTCTCAACGGGTCTAACCTGTTTGATCAACACTTAGTAAAATATTAATATTGCAGTTCATTTGGAAGTGAATATCAAATAGCTTATTATTTGAAACTACTATTCGAAAATTCAAATACCGTACAATCCTCATATTTTGTTTTGACTTGAACTTTGAGCTTAGTTACCTAGTTAGCTTTGTATTAGGTGTACTGCTGAATAAAGGTAGCTAAATGAAGGTGAAATGCTACTTCAACTCAACCAAATGATTTTACCCAACACTATGGAGACAAATGCTGACAAACTGAAGGTGATAGGACTAAGTTCCCAGTCCCAGCTGGGATTCACACAGACCCCACTGCATCAGACTTGACTCCCGACTATAGATGGGTAGGTTGAACGAATCATAGGCAAATAAATGTCCCTCCTTCTGTAATGCCCCTCAGTGATTCTAAGTATAAAATAAATAAACTAAAACACAAATAAATTATCAAAGGCACGATTTACTTTATCGTTTGCACTTCGCAGGGATATCCTGAAATCCCATAGCTATTTTCAAATTTCCTGCATTCTCGGCGAGTAATCCTCCTCAATCCAAACTCAAGGGTTTCCAGTTGACTGCATCCTTGATGCTGCATGAAGGCTTTCCTGCTTGTTTTTGACATTTAAGAACTTAAATTTAATTGGTTTATTAAACCTTCACTTTTATGACCAACATGGGGTTGGTTCTCTTTCTATATTGCCTGCGTTTATATGCAATCGGTTTAGAGAAAAAGATTGTGCAGTATGTTCAATCTACGGATCATGTTTCATTTCCTTGTGTGGAATTTTCTTAATCAGCATTTTTTTTCATTTGGTTTATGATACCATCTACAGCACCATGTAAACCACAACCTCCTTGCTTTCTTAAAGATGTCTCAAAGTGTTTGTTTATGTCAGAGACTCCCTCTTTCGTTCACTTCAATATTTCGTTTTGTAAGGCTGTGATCTCGTCTACCTCTCCGTCTCGCTTCTGAACTTGGTTCGTCAAGTCAGCGATCTCCAACACAAGTTTGTTTAGTTTATCTGTGGTCTCTCTCTGGTGCCTCTGTTGTCTCGTTTAATGGGGTTCAGCTTCGTGAGTATTTGACCAAATTCGGAATCATTTTCAGTTTTAGGTCGGGGGTTAGTTTCAATATTACCAGAACTCATAAGGAGCTGGGTTATGCAAAGCGTCATCAGTAGAATGTCAGCACTTGGAAATGCCTTTCGCAATAACAAGGCGCTACTTTGGAACTTCAAAGGCACTTCCTTATCTTTCACTATATTTCTAAAACAGAATGTGCCAACATGAGCCCTTTAAGTACAGAGATCAACGCACATTGGTTACAGAGTGCACAAAGACACTTAAAAGAGGAAGAAAAGTAGTGGGGATTTGCAGTCGTTGACAAGAATAAAAGAACACAGAAAAGTAGTTGGGGATTGCAACTCACCTATGAAAGGAAAACGTTTCCCAGATAACAGGACAGTACTAGATTCTCTGTCACCTCCGGGGGGGGGTGCGGGGGCGGGGCGGGGGGGCGGGGGGCGGGGGGGGCGAGGGCGAGGAGGGAGGGGGAGGAGGGAGGGGAGGGGAAGGGGAAGGGGGGGGGGGGCAGGGCAGCAGCGCAGGGCGAGGCGCAGAATGGACACAAGTGCTGTATCGGCGTTTGACTGGGACTCGTGCTCGTCAGTGAGGACAGGAGTTCCAGCCGAGCGTTTCTGTTACAGGAGCGCGCTCAGTCACGTACAAGTGACAATTTGTCCACAACGTATCGGGCTTCGAGCAAACTAAGGCATAGCACCAGCGAAAGATGCATTAGCCTAGAAAGCTGGGCCAGTTGACACGTGTTCGTTTTTGTAGAAAAACAGTGCTGTAGGAATTAACGCAATAAGGTGCACGCAGAACAGAGCTGGTGCCATTTCGTCTGAACGGTTTCTCATCTGAGTATTGTGAGTTGCTGCGTGAGGAATGCTGCTTGAGCCAAGTACCTTGTGGCGTCTGGCCACCCTGCAGGCGCTAAAGCAGTACACGGTGTCGAGCAGCGCTCACCTGCAGGCGAGTGTCTTGGACCTGCTGGCACAGCTGGTGCACCTGCGAGTCAACTACTGCCTCCTGGACTCTGACCAGATCTTCATCGGCTTCGTCATCAAGCAGTTTGAGTTCATCGAGGAAGGCCAGGTCCTGTATGTTTGTGAGGCCACGTGCGCAGGACGTTTGCACAACCCACTTCCTTCTTGTTCGCAGGCATGCTCAGGTGCTCATTCCCCAGATCTTCTACTTCTTGGTGCTGCTGTCGTACGAACGCTACCATTCGAAGCCCATCATCAGCATGCCGGAGATCATCCAGCTCTGCGACCGTCTGATGGCCAGCGGCCAGCCGCCGGACAAGTATGGTACGGGTGCTCTGATTGGCTCTCGGCCTGCTCTAAATAGGCCTAGAGAATGTCACCCATTCGTTTGGTCAGCATAGAGGAGCATTTGTCTAGAATTGTCAATGTATCTACTGTTTTATTACTGCAGAATTGAACTCTGACGAAAGCAAACTTGGATTTTGTGTTCATTCGTGGGGTGCATGGTGTGTCACGTAACTCACGATGTCAATGAGGTCACAGTGTCATCACTGTTTTTGGATCTACTTACGTTGGGTGTCAAGTTGGGGTGTAAAGTGATGTCACATTATGTTACCACGTCGTGTGTCCTCATGGCCTTTAGTGTTGTTGTGCCACTGATGTGAGGTCGCATGACACCACGACTTGATGCCATGACCTCTAGGTGTTACATGACACTGTGCCACGTGGTATGACATCACTTGAGATCATGACCTGACATAATGTGCAATGCTGCATATGAGGTTTGATGAATAAGTCAAAATTCAACTGCCAATTTTTAAGAGTTTTTTTATACAGTTTTTTACACACATTTGCGGCCTCTTGGAACCAAAAGCCTTGAAACTTCTTGATAACTCTTACGACGAAAGGACATACTGGCGCCATCTATTGGGTACCAGTGTGAACTTAGCGGTCTGGCATATTTTCTATTTCTGTCATGCATCATCCTTTCTTTCTTGGCTCGAAAAACTTTTGTCAACGTTATTAACGAGCCTTTCTCATAGGTATTACGCACATTTGATCTCGGAAATCCTGCAAAACCTTCGCTCTTGTGAAATGCAGTTCCAGGGTCACTCTATAGAATATAGATGGTGCCAGCATGGCGGTGTGTTCTCTCATCCTAAGAAATTTTAAGAGGTTTCAACAGGTCTTGTCTCTCTCGGTTGTAATCGGTTGCAAGTGTGTGAACGAGCCTTTAAGGGTTTTTACAATCGAACCCGACTATATCGATCCCGTTTACGTCGAATTATCCCTTATATCGAACTATTTTTGTACACAGTAATGTTACAGTGATAATATATAGCAAAAACTATGGTTACATTGAACAAAAATAGCAGCTGCTACTGATATATGTAACTGCCAAGAGCGCCGTTTTGCTCTGGAAGCTGGCTTCCCCCCAACGCAAGCGGCTGCATTGGCGTAAAGCCAGCTTGCAAAGCACGCTGGCTTTTTTTTTCTCTTGGGCAACCACGTTGATTGCTTGGAAGAAAAAAAAAAAAAAAAACTTTTGTGGACGGAGCGGGGAGAGGGTGCTCCGTGCTTCCTCTCCCCGCTCCGTCCGCAAAAGAGAATATTATTTTTTCTCACGGGCGGTTGACGTGGCCGCGCCCAGAAGAAAAGTAAGCCAGCTTGCTTTGCTAGCTGGCTTTCCCCCAATGCAGCCGCCGGCCGTAGGGGAAAGCCAACTTGCAGGGCAAAGCGGCGCTCTGCAGGAGAAGGTGCCCCTGCTCGGTCGTGCTCCGTGCTCTCGGCATAGTTCGGCGCTAATGCGCGAATATAGTAAACAGTGGCCTCAGCATTTTGGAGTCCATCGATAGCGTAGAAAAATATTGTTATCGCAGATGCAATGAAGAAAAAGCAGCAGCAAGACTATTTCATTGTGTAATATGTCAGCAGAAAGTGGATTTTGGAGAGTCAAATTTATTATAACTTTTATATCAAATTGCCCGCTATATCGATCTGGTAGACATTTTTTTGTGAGTTCGATATAAACAGGTTTGACTGTATAACAAACTCTGTAGGACTGTTAGACATTTTTGTTGCAGAAGTTATAAGGGCAGAGCACCAACAATTTACCACTCTAAATTGCATGTTGGTACCATCATGTAGTGCTGCACTTATACAACATGGGGACCATTTCTGTGTGGTATCATTGTTCTCGTTCAGATTTTTGGTGTCACATGAGGGAAGTTACACCTGATTCAGAACTTGCTTGCCCTGCTGCAGACCACAGATATATATCTTTGGAGGGAAGTGGGGCGGATATAGTGGGATGGAAAGAATCTTGGTTTTATCAGGGCAAAGATTGGTGCGCTTGTCACACAGCTGCCAAGACAATGAAAAGGGGTTTAGATATTAATTTTAGTAATTTATTTACTTACCCCCTCTCAGGGTCCGAATACATTAGAGGGGGGTGGGCTAGAACTTTTGAATAGCATACATAGAAACAAAAGTTGGGTAGGTTAGCCATTGAAAAAAAAAACATTGTTAATTATAACACAAAACAAAATCAGAAATAGCATCTTTAAATTAGCCGCTTTCAGTGATGCCGACAATAAGTGAGGGCTGTCCTCAAAAAAACTTGTCTCGGCAAAAAAAGCTGGACGGTTTTGTTTTAATTCAGGAAGTAGAGAACATTAATATTTTTTTTATTTTTCTTCATATTTGTTATGCCACAGACTTTATGAAAAACGCCACATTTTATTTGAATGTTCAGACCTGTTTAGTTTTAGGGAAATAAAATCCCAAAGAAGTGGGGAAGGACGGCAGGGTTTTGACGATTGGCTTTCTGTGACACCCTGGATTTGTGCTCAATCGCAGACTATTAGCGACAGACACCCAATACTTTTTTAGGGTAATTTATATGTGACTTGGTCCAATGAGTAGCACTGCTGCCAAAGCCTGCTAGAAAATGTTTCTGATGCATGAAAGCTTTTATGACGATGGCACCTTCCACAACTGCACTGTCACAGGTATGTATGCCAGAAAAAGCTTCGCTTCCCAAGTGCCTTTGAAGTTCATGAGCGTCGCTAGCAGTTTATTTCAGAGTTGGCAGCTCTCCTGCATGAGCCTTAGTTTAACACACAATAGTTTAAAGGCTGGGATCTCTGAGGAGAGTGTGACGTGATGTGTAACACGGATAAAAATCAGCACAAAAGAACACATAACCAAGCAGAAATAATGGTAAATGCAGAAGAAAGAATGAAGTTATGAACATTCTCCAATAAGAAGTGAAGTCAGGACCTCAAGATTCTGTACCCAACACTACCAGCATGCCAAGGAGAGGCTTGGGAAATGAGAGAGAAGTTTGCTATGCCAAGGGTGGGAAGTGTGCGGACAACTCTGTGACTACATCACGTGTCCATATCATTTGACCATGTCCTGTGCTTTGACATTACAGATGAATTTAAAAGAGCTGTAAGAGAGTCGAGAAGCGTATACGCTCGTTTCTCTCAGTCGGAGAGTGCAAGCGCATCCTCAATGTGCGACCATGTAATGCTGGCCTAAATTTGCACTTCAGCATTAGCAAGACGCGACCATAAGAACGGTGTTGCAGCTTTCAGTCATGTGCGAGTCATGATCATATACAAGTGTCTGAGAACGTGCATCAGTATCTGTCCTTACAGATGCTGACAGACAACAGATCAGCCACAAATGGCACTGAATGCTACGGAAACGCAACTACCAAATTTATTCGTAGGATCATGGTTATTTTTTTTTTTTCAGTGATCCCAGCTCTTCAGGCGATAGTGGAAGACCTGTTCCTGTTGCCAAGTGCTAACCGGACCGACTCACGCAAGGAGCTCGAGACACAACGGGAAGTGGTGGTCTCTGTGCTCCTGCGGCTTGTACAATACCCAGAGGCAAGCAGTTCCCTTTGCTCAGAGGACCATTTACCATGTTCTGTTTTGCCCAGGTCCTAGAGCTGCTTTTGGCCGTGGTTCACCACAGCTACCAGGAAGGAGAAGACAGGTGGAAGAAGTTCTCGAGGCAACTCATCGACGTGATCCTGCCCCTCATGTCACAGCTGCAGGTGGGCGACCTTTGGTCTGGCTCCTCCGAGACTTTATTCGAACTTGCCAGACCTCACGGCTTTCAAGCAAAAGGCTCTTAAGGCCCGTTCGCTCACTTGCAACCTCTTGGAACCTTGTGCCTTGGAACCTCTTAAAATCTCCTGCGACGAGAGGACACACTGGCGCCATCTATTTAGTAGCAGTGTAAACTTGGCAGTCCGGCATATTTTCTATTTCTCTCACGCATTATCCTTTCTTTCTTGGCTTGAAAAACTTTCGTAAACGTTATAATAAACAAGCCTTTCTCATAGGTATTATGCAAATTTGACCTCGGAAATACCGCAAAACTTTTGCTTTTGTGAATGCAGTTCTAGGGTCGTTGCATAGATGGTGCCAGCGTGCCAGTGTGTTCTCCCCTCCTAAGAAATTTTAAGAAGTTTCAACAGGTCTCGTCTCTCGGTCGTACTCGGTTGCAAGTGTGAACGGGCCTTTATGGGATGGTTGTTTAAGGGGGGACATGGGTCTTTGGAGCCTCAAACTGCATTCTTTTGAAAACAATGATGGCTGTTGTTCTTCTGAATCTACCAGGCTTCTAATTTCATGAATGAATATTTGAGCTATAAATCAATTTATAATGTGTATGCGGGCTGAATGTGCGTTAAAGTTGACTCTAGAACATTGTTTTCACATTACACAATTTTTGGACCCGTTGAAAATTTGCAGAAAGGATATCTCAGCATCTAAAGCAGTCAGAAATATAATCTTTCTTGAAATGTGTTGCTAAATATGTGAAGCATACAATGTTGAGAGCAGATTTTTTAATATGTCTAGAAAATTCTTTATCTGATCTTTTGTTTTATTACTTGTTAGCCATGCATTGAGCACTGAACTTCAGTATGTTGTGAAATCGCAAACAATTGGTTTATCTTAAAAGTACTTCCAGCATTGTATTCCTTACACTTCGTAGTATCTGGCCATGTGTTAAAAAGAATATTTTGTTGAGCAGCTTTTTCCATATCATTCCTCCGAAATTACCAGATATATGAAATCAGCACATAAAGCTGAACAAGCATGTGCAATTTTATTGAGTTTAAAATGTTGCTACCAGTGTTGTGTCAGTATTTGAATTTTCTAATATTAGTTTCGAATAATACGTTATTTGACATTCGCTTCGAGATGAACTGCGATATTCATACCTTATGAAGTGTTCATTGTGGCGGGTAGCCCCTTTGAGTGTGCTTCTCACTAAGCACTTGTGTACTGTGGGGAAGCAATGTCCGTGGAGCTTGTGGGTATTGCTTTCTTGCAGTGCACAGGTGCTGGGTGAGAAAGGCACTCGATGGGGCTAATCCGCCGTGATTATACAAGAGCATGTGTTAGGCAGCGATGTCTTGACAACCCGTGCTCATTATTCATGCTTTTTTTTTTTTTTGTCAGACTTGAAATTGAAGATAGAGTATTTGCATATAACAAGCAGATTCATAAATATCCTCAATTAGAATAGCTGTGACAGTTGTCGTTTACATGCCATAGTTCATAAACACAGCTATATAAAAATAGGCTGAGCTTAGAAATGGACATGTGGAAGGTTGGGAATCTGCACGAGTTCAGCTGAATTTTTCGTTTAAGCAAGGCGCATGGTAATGAAACGCTGGGAGAAACTTCAATATTTGATTCGAAAATATTCGGCCAAAACCACTATTTGCTTTGAATTTGCTTCAAACTCAAAATTCACTATTCGCACATGACTAGGTGTTACCAAAGAATGAGAACACGTCCAGATGTCTTTATAAAAATGCACAGCTTAATCATATTTGATGAATTTGGAGACGTACAGAATGTGTTGCGAATGAGCTGGGCACAGGCTGTGTGTGTGTGTGACGTCACGTAATGTCAGAGTCACATACGTCACAGTGTTACATTAGTGTTATGATGTCACATGATATGGTGTGATGTGACACTGACGTCACAGACACCCAAACTTGACATCGTGTGATGTCACAGTGTAAGGCATTGTCACGGTCTCATGTGATGTCATGGCGTCATGTGATCTGTTTGTTGGTAAAGCGTAACATGTCGGTATTCTCACGAAACCCAACCCCATAATGCATTCTATGTTAGAAGGCTTTCCCTTGCCAGGAATCGAACCCCAGGCCTTGTTCTGTATTTTGGCTCTCTACTTCTGTGCACTCGGACAGGTGTTCCTCAAGTTTTAATGAAAAACAAATTAAACTGCAAGGGACCAGGTACTTAGACTTGCCGAGAGGAGTTTTGCTGAAACGTGGCCCATAAAAAGTGTTTGGGGCTCTAAATCTAACCAAGTTTGACACAAAAGCCATCAATCCAGAATTGAATGTTCAGTTACTCTCTTTTCCATGGTCACGTGCAGTGGCAACAAAGTGCACAAAATATTTTTTATATTTCAGGCCATCTAGGGCACACATTTTTTGGAGTAATAGATTTTATGAAGCATAAAAACACCAAAATGCTGTGATTTGAAGAAACTTCGAGCATGTACTCAAGGGGAGTGACTACTTGAGAAGTTATTCCTTTAGACGTTTTGGTTACGGTGTGACTTTTTTCATTTTTCTCAGCAAGTATGCGACTCTGCAGTAAAAAAGATTTGTCGCAATGTGTTTAGACCATGTTTCGTTGGCTATCTTTTTTTGTGTTTCCTCGAAGTGAAAATCATGCTCAAAACCATCGGGCTGGGCCATTTTTAAAGGTGGGGTATGTTCAGAGATATTATAGTAGATAGCTGCGTTTGCATGAATGCTACTTACCGTAAAATACCGGGCAAGCGCCCACTAAAAATTCAGAAATAATTGCGAGAGAATGAGGGATGGGCGCTTGTCCGGTCATCAGTTTTACATATAAATGTACTGCGCGTATTTCCTCAGATCTTACAAATTTGGAAATGGGCGCTTAATGTGGGACTGGGCGGATGCGCGGTATTCTACGGTAGTCACAGCGACTTCAATGCAGTCACGTAAACGGCCTAATGCGCTATGGAAGTGCATCGCGTTCAAGTCGCTAGAAGGAGGGGGATCGAGACTGCGAATGCGCATTCATTCAGCCCTTGTAAACGGAGAGCACATTGCATTTTGGAATGGAGAGGATTATGGGAAGGTGCTCGCTGCGGGTGCGAGTGAACAGCTGAGAACGTTGCGGCGGCCAATCTCAGCGGCGACGGTGGAGAGCGGTCCCATGTGGTCATCTGCAGTTTTCTCCCAAGAAACGTGAGATTTTATTGGCATCATAAGTGAGTGGAAAATAGCTGAGCTGCTCGGTGAGGGCAATCCCCGTCCAGGCCTTGCGAATCATGACTTGTGGGTCCAAGGAAGTCCCTTGAGGCTGCACAAATGACGCCGAGAGCTCCGAGCACTGGTTCCACAGAATGGACAGCTCCTACCTCAGTGCCATTCCAGTCTGTGCCGGAGCCTCTCGGCCCCAGGGTCGGGTCGTTTTTGGCATGATCTGGCGTGGCGAAGCGTGGTGTCGTCGTGCTCCCAGCGGTTCAAAACAATCACGCTCGCCAGGGTATGCGCACCCACGTCGCCTCTGTTCTGGAGTGGCCCGGCCCGGAGCCCAAAGCGCTTGGGTTTTGATGTTTCTTGCATCTCTTAACTTCTTGCACAGCATCAAAGACAACCAAGCACAATCTTTACGCTTCTCGAAAGTACCGTATTTATTCAAATATAGGTCTACCTTTTTTTTTTTTTTTTTTTTCGGAAATGTCAAAGATCAAAGGTTGGCCTATAATCGTGCCCAGAGAATTTCGACCTACATTCGGGACCAAATTTTGCGACCCCACCGAGTGCATAGAGCTATCCAGTCACCGAGCCGACATTGCCATAGCAGTGTTCAGCTTCTTTTTTCGGAAAGCTTTTGGTGCACGAAAACAACCGAAACGGCAGCAGCTGGTGACCCGCCGTGGCCGCTGTGGTTGCCGCTTGTGCGCATCCCTTGGGCGTCAGGTTTTGCGCTTGTCCGTGGCTGGCCAACCAGCACCGCTTGTGCATGCCCCTCATGATGCAAGGGGGGGAAGAGGAGGTAGGGAGACGTGCCACAATGCGCCACGCTTAGCCATGCACCTTGCCCCCTCCCCCCCTTCCCCCCATCCCCTCGCAAATGCGCAGCAAAACAAAATAGGGAGGGTACTTTCGCTCCTTCCGGCTTGCGGCGTTGCTCGCGTCTTTGTAATTGGTCTTTCGTCGCTTCTCCCGTCTTCACCTTCTTTCGTTTGTTGTCGCCATTTTGCAACGGTATCAGTGAGATATTGTTGCAAGTTTGTGAGGATTTCGGCGAAGCTGACGAAGCTTCCAAAGACGACGACATGTCCGGAAGTTCTGACGATGATTAACTTTTTGGCATCGCGCTATTATTTAGCTGGTAGCGCTGCAAATAAAGGTTTGTTTGTTTCTTTTGCCCAAACTTCTCTGTACTTAAGGGGGACATGGCCTGGGAGGGTCAAGTTTTGAACTGTTCTCTCAAATTAATTAAAACTTTCAGGGTGAATTGAACCCCATTAGGATTGATGACATCTAAAGTTTCAGTTTTGTAGGCCAATTCTACAACATACTATGCTACTATGCTTAACAAGCTCCTGAAAAAGTTACTTTATTAGGAAATGTATTTACAAAAAAATAATAATTGTAGTCCACGAAATGTTTGGTTTAATATGAAGAAGGATACCCATAGTGCAAGTTAAGATAAAAATTAATTGTGGAAAATGCAATTTTAGAGAAAAACAATAACACCCAAAAAGAGCAAAAGATTTTAACAAATTTCTGTGTTACAAAATATTCAGTTTTTGTCATGAAGAATTTAGCTTCTTTAGATTATGACTACCTTAACTTGTTCTTCCGGAAATTTCAGTCCAGGACACCACTGAATGAAATCTTTACACTTTCAAAATGTCCAATGATACATTTCCTCATACCACATTTCCTGCCAAAAAGTGAAACCGAGAAAAATACATTTGAAGTTTCAACTTTAGCTTTCTTTCTTTTCTATGAGTCCGAGGTTGGCAAAATTCACCTGGAGCATTGTTAGCACCTTCCTCTTTGAAACTTCTTTGTTCCCCTGGCAATAGCTACCAGTAGGCATGTGTCGTTCGTAGGCGAGCTAACTTTTGTAGCAGGCATTCCTTGACAGATAAACTGGCAAGAACTAAAAGGCAAATCATACTAAGGAAGAGCAGCAAAGCAGGAATAGGATCTGAAGTAGAAGATACTGTGAAAGGGTGTTACTGAAGATGGTACAATATCACATCACCGGGCAGGACCAATCGTAAACCCTGTTTCAGGTCTCAACCAATAAGATTGCTCATACCAAATTTTCAGACTTTTTTCTGTCTGGATGTATAGGGTTTTCCTAGCCATTGATACTTTGAAACTTGGAAAGCTTTTACAGGCTAAATCCAGAGTAAATGGCGCTTCCAATCAGGGTGAGATGTTTTGGCTATGTTAAATGAGTATGAAGCAGTGCTAAATAAAAAAATCATTATTGTCCAGCTCGCTTGCCCCTTTGCATTTAATTGCATTATAATTATAACAAAAAACTTGCTCCCTGCTGACTTGGAGGGCTACCGACATGTCGAAAATAATTTAGTGTGGGATAAATTCTGCATGTTTAAAGGTGAAAGTTTCTGAAACCATTCTTTGGAAGTTAATAAACATAAACATATCATTCTTGTAAAATACACTTTTCTGAAAAACTTAAATTCCTAACCCCCCTTAAAAAAAGAAAAAAATGGTCAGCTTATATCTGAGTTATTTTTTTCATATTCTTGGCGAGCTATAAAGGCATCGACCTATATTCGTGTTCGACTTATATTCAAGCGAATACGGCAGCTGAAAGGGCCTCGCGTGCAAAGCACCGGGAAACATTGTCACGTGGGGCAGCTGGTGTTGTAAACACATTCTAACTTTGAGATGTGACACGGCATGGCACCACCATGTGCGTCCATGTAAATGTTAATGCATCTGCTTCATTCCAAGGATGATTGGAAGTCGCATTCATGTAAACACTGCTAATGACTAGTTAGCTTGCTAGCAGTAGTTTTTTACAGCGGAGCTGTTAAGGGCTAGTTTCCCCAGTTTCGTGTCCGGTACCCAAACAAATGTCGACACAAAAGTAGACAAAACTCTGGACAGCTACCGCCATCTATGAGCGACGGCGGCAACCAGACAACCAGTCTGGATTCTGCCGTCACTCATAGATGGCGGCAACCTTTCCAGCTATCATAGAAGAATGGATAGTTAGGCAAGTTGGTGGGAATTCATCGTAGGAAACAGCGCGCAAAACAGATGAGGACGAAGAAGAAACGCACGGGACGAGCGTATAGCTTTGCTGGTCTTCCTTCTTCACCAGAGTGGAAAGGCTGAAATTTTTTTATTATGTTTGCTGCCGTTCTGCTAGACACCGAGTAGAACGTGTGCACGAATGTTTGTTTTGCAGGTACGCCTGGACAACCGCCATGCGTTAAACGTGCTCCAGAGACTCTTTGACTCAGTATCGCCTAGTGTCTTTCGACCTGTGGACATCCTGCTCAAGGCCTTGTTAGTGAGCCCCACTGAACCGGTGAGTTGCACACTGCTTCTGTTTAAGAGAGAAACAAATGGTTAAGAAAAGGTGGCTCCTGAAGAAATGGTTTCGGAAATTATTAGCACCGGTACGGTGCTTGGTGCGTGTCTTCGACTGGTGCGTTTATCGTCCTGTATCACCCATGCCTCGAAAGTGGCCCCGAAGTGGGAACAAATTACGTCACAGGAGCCAATGTGTCATGCTATTGGATGTCGCGATCCTTGCGGTTGGTTGTAGACATGCTGGCAGAAAAGGTGAGGGTTGCTGTCATTGTGGTGTCCCGTCTCATGTCTGCTTTGATTTTCGTCGAATGTCTGGCTGCAGAGCAGCCCACAGCAAAACAAACGTCTGCCGCATCTTCCTCTGCTGTGCTGTCGCTGGGATTGCGGCAAGCAACAGCATGATACTTCTACGACGTCATCAGGCAGAAATTGAGGGACTACATTTGAGAACATGGTCCCTCAGATGTAATCCCTGTGGTGCCCGGACACGTGCTGCAGGCACCATAGTACAGGATCGCACAAAGAGAGATGGTGTTGGTCACTGGCAGGGGGTGTTGTGCGTTCCTCTCTAGTAAGGTATTAGATTCTACCACATTTGTCGTGGGCATGATTCCTGGCGTGCTGTGGAAGCTCCGCCTGTGAGTCTCCTGAGAGAAACATTATAGAAAATGCTTTTTGCGCGTCAATGTTCAACATCTGCCAAGTATCTGCATGAACATGCAGATACTTAGCGCAATGATGATCAAACCCACGAGCCCATGACTTGTGCCTGATGCTCTACCGTTGTACCTAAGGGAGACTTGGGAACTGAGGGATATATTTAGTGCACCAAGGGTGGAAAGTGTGCGGGTAACTGTGTATCACGTGACCATATCACGTGGTTTGACATTACGAAAAGGCTAAAAAGAGCTGTTGGAGCATGAGGAAGTGTGTAGGCAACTGCAGGACTGTGTCAAGAAGGAAAGGGAAAGAAAGAAGCCCAAGATGGGGGGGGGGGGGGGGGGGGGGGAGCTACAAACTGCACAGAAGAGCACATTCTTTGTGTACTGAGGATCATGATAATGTAGGTAATGTAAAGTGGAACAGAAAGAAACAAAGTGGGCAAGGGTATGGTAGGTACGCGTTTGTATTTTTAGGCTGGTGAGATCAGTCTGTTGGACAGCCGTACTCCCCGGCGAACTGCGGGAAAAGTGGCAGTGCCTCGGGTGCGTGAGGGTTTTTTACATGCCTTGCAGACAGCGTGCTTCCCTGCGGAGCGCTGGATGTGCCTGGTCCTGGCGAGTGTGCGGGTGCTGCTGGCCCAGACGAGGGAGGAGGTGGTGCTCTCGCGGCTGGCCGACCTAGCACTGCCCCTGAGGGTGCCTCAGGCGCTGGCGCCCGAAGCCCTCTACGACCCCCTCGACCTTCAGTCCCTTGGTGACAACACAGAGAAGGCTGTGGCAAGGTCGGGCAGTCTTCCGAGGTTACTCTGTTGTCACAATTAATATGACGTGAAACGGCTCTACGCGTGGCACACGTTGCAACCAGTGCTTCCTGTCGGATCTTCAGCAGAGTTTTCTGACCAAAGCACTGCTCTGAACAAAACACCTTGTAGAGTGATGACATACTTCTAAACCCTTAGATGGGGAAGATAAAAAAGCAGAAAAAATCCACAGACAGTCTCGTTATGTAGCTGAAATTGATTGATTTGAGTGTACCAATAAATAGACTTTCAAACACAGGAAAAAGGTAAAGAGTGATCCCAAATGCATAAATAGGATGCCCACTGACCTCTAGCAGGCAGACTAACACACTCCCAAGGCTCAACGCCTGGACAGGAAATACGCCTTGCCTTTGACGACTGAACAAAACCCCCTCCCGCAAGATAAGCCAATGAGGGTGAACTCAAAAACCGTCTAAAACCTAAATCCCCAATCTTCTTCTTACAGCAATCCGCTTTCAACCTACACAAAGACCACTCCACATCACAAAAGCAGAAACTCCTTCACCTGGTTACTTATTACTAGAGATGGTTGCTCACACAGGTTTAAAGTCCCCTGAATTAGTCTTCTAAACACATTTTTCTCGTTGCAGAGCTCTGAAGTTTTATTCCAAAGAGGGGAACATAAATCACACGAGCACAGATGTTTAGCTAGTTCATAATTCTGCAACTTATTTTTTACATTTCTTTTGTGTTCTGTGAGGCAGTCAATGACACAATGCTGTGTATGCCCAACATAACACAACCTACAATCCAAGGGAACCTTGTACAGTCGAGCCCACTCGGATTAGAAATTGTTCGCAATAACACTCGGTTATTGCGAACAATTTCTAATCCCCAAACATACTTTGCAACAATCTTACAAAAGACGGTCCACTTTTAACGGCCGCTTCTGCGCGTGACTTCGATAGAACGAATGAAACGAAGCGCCGTCTGCCGCGAAAGTGCGGCTCAGAAGAGAAGGCGAAAAACACGGAAGGACTGCCGGCAGCATTGAGATCTTATCTTGGGGTGAAAGGGGAAGAAGAAAGAAAGGAAAGCAAGGCACCCAAGGCCATTGTTTTGCGCGCGCTCCAGACTCTGTTCAAGCTTATTGGCTCATTCCCTTGAAGGGAAAAGAAGCATTGGGGTTGTGTGCAAAGTCTATGTAATTTAGTGATTTTTTTTTTTTTTTTTTTTTTTTTTCCGCTTTGTTATTTTTGGTTGCTGCGGCTTCGTGGATTGTCTCTTCTCGTTTGGTTTCGGCTCGACCTGCGTGCAGTCTTCTTCGGTCACTCCCCGAGTTTTTGGTCGTCATGTCAAACATGGCTTCGACTTCGAAGAAACGTAAAGCGATTGACATGGGCACGAAATCTGCAATCCTTCAGGAGCTGAGCGCCGGGGCAATAAACGGTGACCTGTGCACGAAATATGGCTTAGCGCCTCCGACAAAGCCATCCTGCGAAAGGTGCGGCCGACCGTCCAGGACATCGCGGTGTCCGACGGTGAGGGTGACGATGGCAGCGGCGATGGGGTTGCTCCCTCACCTCCAGTCTCGATGACGACGGCTTTGGGGCACATGGCTTCGTTGAAGCAGCTGGTCTATGCACGGGGACTGAGTGATGTCCAAATTGATCAGCCGAAAAAACTGGAGAGCGCTATCATCGGGTCTGCACTATTGAAACAGACCGCAATAACGGACTTCCTTGAATAAATGCCGCGCGCGTCGATCGCGAGTGTTGCGCTTTGAATCTGTGCCGTGCTTACTTATTAGAGCGCAGCTCTTAGGGGCCCGTTTCCGGCTTGAGCGGCGTTGCCGTCGGCGTAACCGCAAGGTCACGTGACCCTCCCCCCCAAGTCACGTGACCCTCCGCCCAGGTTACACTCCCCTGCCTCGAGGTCATGTGACCCCCTCTCTCCCCGAGGTCACGTGACCCCCCTCCCCCCGAAGTCACGTGACCCCCTCTCCCGAGGTCACAAGTATGTTGTTTCCTAACCTGCTCGCCTGCACTCAGTCTCAGTTCTCACAAGTCTCAGTTCTCACAAGAATGATGTTTGTTTTTTTTATATACAGGGTGTCTTTTTAGGGTTTATAGATTCATTTTAAGAAAACTATGAAAGCTATAGTAATGCAATCTGTGCAGGTGAGTTATACAGCCAGGGGGACATAATATAGAGGGACAATTTTCACGGTAAGTCAAATAATTAGCTAAAATCTTTTGATTAACTTTTATTATAAAAATGGACATATGGTTCTAATTAGAACTTGCTGAGCATCATCGAAAACTACTACATCAGTCATTTTCAGAAAGACTGAGCATGTGAGAATTGAGTAGTGCACTAGAATTACCACTCGTGGAGCAGGTACAAGGCTGGCGGTGGTGAGAAAACGCGGATGATAAGAGATGAAAAAACTGAGCGGACGCTTTCTCGCTCCAGTAGCCTTGCTTCTGCTATTTGAAAGACAGCTTTAGCGATCCACTGTACTTCCCCCATGCTCCAAATCCTAAAATTGACCAATTTAGTGGTTTTCGATGACACTCGGCAGGTTTCTAATTGGAACCATATGTTTATTTTCACTAATTAAAAGGTTAATGGACGTATTTTAGTTAATTAGCCGTCTTATCGTGACGGTTATCACTTTATTTTATATCCCCCTGACCGTATAACTCGCCTGTATAGACCGCATTATTGTAGCTTTCACGGCTTTTTTTAAACAAATCTGTAAAATTTAAAGAACACCCTGTATATATATATATATATGTAGGATGCTAATAAACCAATCTCACTAAGCTTTCCGTGCATGCATAATGCAGTCGTAACTATAGTCCACAGGATGCAGGCACCAGTGCACGAGAAAGCTTGTGCCGTCTCGTGCTCTGCTCGTGCAAACTTGCAGTGGGGTTGTTGCGCTAGCAGAAAGACTACAGGTCCCACGAGGCCTGCCAGCAGCAGGGGCATAACAAAACTGGCTGGTGAGATAGGTATATAATGATTATGTGACACTACTATTGTAAGTCGGCTCATGCTTTGAACAGCCGAGCAATGTTTCTATCATGGGTATGTCATTGCCGCGATTTCAAGGTCCAAGAGACGCTTTTGCATTGCTCGTGCCTCGTGCTGCTCCTGCTCGTTATCCGCTAGCTGCCATCACCTCTTGTCAGCGCCACCGTGCTCAATACTATGTGAGTGACTGCTGACCCATGGCCGCTCCAGAATGGAGCAGTCGTGGTTCAGCTGTGTCATGGTTTCCCCGACCAATATTCACTAGCAGACGAGTGGAACTGCAAAGTAATGCAACAATCGCTGAAGCCTGTGCGTCTCGACGTTATTGCACATTTAAGCTTCACAGAGTATCCAACAGAAGGCACAGGCAGTACCGAGCACCACGCAAAGGGCCGTTTTAGGTTGTATTCTGAATTTGTTTTGTAAGCATGTAAATGAGGAAAGCCTTACTGCTCTTCACTCGGCATCACATGTGTCATCATTGGCAGGTTTCCTCCAGAGTTCTGTCAGGGTTGCCTGGTCACCAGGTGCAAATTATGGACATTCAAATATTTGTTTTTGTATATATTAGAAGGTTAGAAGTTGCAAAACTGGGTGTGTACAACTAGTAGTCCATGAAGATTTCATAATAATTATCCACCATAGTTTTTGTGTGATGAGCCCTTAAAGGAGCACTGCAAGAAAAAGAAAACTTAAGGATGTTGGAACGAACCACCCATCAGTGGAAAACGCGAGAGTTTAGTGACTTTGCACCAAGGTCGTTGGTAGTGACATCATTGGCGCCCAGAGGCAGGATTATCTGAAAAAGTGGATGGAGGACTGGGCACCGCTTAAACAGTGGTTTAGTTGATTAGAAATGCGGGATTTTTCTACATCAGTGTTCACTAATGCTGAAACTTCTTCTCGTCCAATGTCAACAGTAATAGTTGCTGGGCCAAGATAAGGAGGATATCGGACTGGGGACCGCGGTGCAACCTGACAGGCTGCGCGCCTTAGTTTAATGACAGAAGTGTGGCAGTAGCGTCGGTGAATTGTGAAACTGTGGTTTCAGCGAGGATGGGGGAAGTGGATTGGCCACGTCGGAATTCATCAGTGGGAAAAGGATATCTGTTGCAGTGGTCGTCGAAATTGCGGCGCATGTCAGGGTCGTCAGTTTAATGGGTAGGGTTGGGTGAGACAACTGTACGCTTTGGCATTCATGCATACCGGGTGGTGATCTTTTGTGCGCCATGCTTCTGTCCTTTGGGGTGATCCTTAGCGATGGCATGGGATGGACAGGTTGTTTGAAGGTGGCACAGTGAAAATGTGTGGTGAGTGCTGCAAAACACAGATGGGTGGTGAGGAAGTTGGCATGCCATGTGTGCACAAGTGGGGGGAGAGACTGGTTGAAGTGCAGCGCCAAGTTCGTCCTTGATGATTTGTTCAATTTTAGGCGCCTTGACTCACAAGTGTGAAGAGTCGGCGGAGGAATACGGTGATTCTGAAAAGTCATTAGTTTTGCTGGTAGTTGTATTGGAGACTCTAGGAAGGCGTTCAAAGGAGATCTTAGCAATCCAACCACTTTGGAGGCCTTCGTAGTGCCTGCATTCCGTAATAAGCCGCTGCACAGTTGGAGGCGACTTTGGTGCGACGACTGAAAACATTTCTTTAGACGATCCTTTGAAGAGGTGTCAAATTTTTTTCGTCCTCTGGCGTAACCGAATTGGCAGAACTGCAGAAGCAAAGTGACCTCAATATGTGACATCTATGATCCGAGGAAGCTTGGCACCGCCTGGAGAGCTTGTCCCTGGCTTTTAGATAGTGGTGACTACGATGAGGGTGTAAATGTAAAGTGCAACATTTTAAAGATTGTTTGTACCTTTGTTGTTCCTAAGGAAATTACATTTTCTAAACAATGTTGAAAGTCGTACAAACTCAAGCTGGTGGCATGTTTCTACAAAATAGGGGTTCTATTGGATGTGCCTTCCTGAATGGTTCGATTATTGAGCCCTGCTGTTACCCCGCAGGTACCTCATTCAGGTTGTGAATGTCTATGGGAAGCACCTGTGCAAGATTTTGCTGCAGAGCCCTGGCGCGGAGGCCATCTTCCCTTTCCAGCAGATGTCGTGCCTGCTGTTGTACCTGACCCATATGTTTCAGTCGGGTATGCATACTCTGCCACAGATACCTTTCGTGGCAAGAAATTGTGTGTGTTTTGGAGCTCCGAAATCAAAATGGTTTCAAAGAATATCCTAATTGGCCCATATTTCTTCTTTTCATAAAAGACAGCAAACACTTTATGATGCAGGCTAACATGGAAAAGAGGCAGGGACAAAATGTATTGACCCATATGGTTAGTGCTTACGTCTTGGTCTCTTCTCTAGCGTAATATTAAAAGGGTAATCCGCCGATTTCTTTCATGGTCACCAGATTGCTTCAAAGTTAGCTCAATGCCCAATACAGAAGGCTCAACCGTTTTTTTTAAACTGTAAGTCTCTGCTGGCAACACTGAAAACATGATGCAATTCAAAATTAAAAAAATTGTTTTATTCAGACATATGCAAGCACAGGTTCACTGCTTGGGCAGTAGAACTAATAATGATACTAAATGCGTTGTATATAGGTATGTTCATACAGTCGGATGTTAGTCGGCCTTAATGGATGTCTGGTGTATGGAATAAGTAGAACTTGTTCCCTACAGATTACAAAAAGTTTGAGGGTTTCACCACAGTACTCAGATTCATAGCAGATGATTCACTTTATTTTCTAAATGTATGCTATGGAAGTTTACTCCAGCACTCACTCAGCCGGACGAAAAAAATATTTTGTTTTCTAGACTATCTGCTTGACCTGCGGGGCTTCTTGTCAATGACGTGATATCTCTGAAAAGTGTCAGGAAATTTTTATGTTGCATTTGGCATTGTCTTTTTTTCCGTTTTCTTAATGCCTAATTTTAAATTTAGTAATAGTCTTGTCTCGTTATTATGGACCCCGTTATGGACGAAATTTTCGGAGCCTGATCTTTCGCCATGTAGTTCTGCCTTGTCAATATGAAAACCCGCCGTTTGGACTATAAACAGCTATTTTGAAGATGAATTGGGTAAATACAGGCATTTTTGACTAGTTATGGATGCCAATACTTCAGTTTAAAAAAAGAAAGTCCAAAAACATCTCCAAGATATTAATGAACCCAAGAGGTCACAGCATGCACCCAGACGTTTGTTGCTTGTCTTGCGATAAGAGCTGCACACCAAAAGATTAATTTTTGTTTTGTCTGTCACGTAAAATGGGTTATTACCGCTTGCAGTCTATTGCTGCTTGAGATTGTGTATGACCTCTATCCCGGAAGAGAGAATATTGAACCCTCAAGCAGCTAGGTGTAGACCTTGTCACTGTTTGGGAAATGGGAGAGAAACTTCTGTACTCACAGAGCTAATTTCTCCTAGATAAGGCTATGACGGGGGATGAGGGAATTCTTGTCCTTGAAGTGGTTCACAGCGAAAGGCCCCTTAGATCATAAGCCTGTCATTGGTATAAAAGGCAAGACTGAATCCATCTCTGGTCACTTGGAAAATAGAGTAGACGATGTCAGGTGAGAAGCGGAAGCAATCAGAGACCATGGCTAGTGTCAAGCGTAAACAAACAAAGCTTTCTGCTCAACTGAAAAAATTAATTTTTTTCAGTTGAGCAGAAACGTAAAAAAAAAAAAAGAAACTAAAGACTCTGCGCTGACAATAGTAGCTGACGAAGAAGACGACAGACCAATTGTAACTCGACGTGCGGCTTGCCACGGCTTGGTAACAGCTGTCGCTTACTTTGAGCAGGAAGGACAGAGAGAATGCAAACTTCAAGTAGAGGTGGTGTTGCGCTTTCTGGACACAAAAGTAGGCTCGAAAGTGTCAGTGTCAGTACAAACCCACATGTTGTCCTTTTTTTAACTAAATAAATCGTGTATCTCTTGTTCAGAAAAAAATATAGTAAGGGTGCAGGCAAGCTGGTGAATATTAACTATGTTGAAGTAACTTGAGACTGTGGTAGAAGAGAAGCATCAAAACGTAGAAGGGACGGAAGATACACAGGGCGACGTTTGAGGAAAGACCATCGGTCTTCCCTCAAATTCAACTAAGTCGTTTATTTAGTCCACCTCTTTATATAGTCTCAAACTCAATTCATCACCACCAACACAGGAGGACAAAATCTATACAGTTCAAGCATTTACATTGTGTGGCGGAGACTGTGGCACTTGAACTGCACAGTCGTTGTCCTTCTTTGTTGGTGGTGATGACCTTGAGATTGAGACTATATAAAGAGGGTAACTTAAATAAACGAGTTAGCTGAGTTTGATGCGTCGTTCTGTCTATCTTCTGTCCCTTCTACGTTTTGATGTTTCTCTTCTACCCGTCTCAGGTTAATTCAACATGGGTATCTCTTTTTGTTGCTGCACTTGTTAATATGAGTGTTTTGACCCGATTTGTTAATATGGTTGACTCGCACTCTGCAGGATCTTTCTAATGAACGGAGGCGTCCATTTTAACGACACATGACTACTGTAGCATGCTGGGAGAAGTAAAGTTTGGGTATTCGGCTAGCTGGGGTAGCTAAAAAAAATGGGCAGCACAGCCTGCAGCAACCTGCGAACCGATGGTCTCCCCTCAAACCCTAAAGTGTCCCAGTACAGCCTGTGGCAACCTGTAATGTGCGTCGCGCCTCTCGATGCACATAGAGCAACGGGTTCCCACCACGGGTTCTGCAGGGAGCTTCCGTCGTGTAGCCACGGCGGCCATGGAAGCGGTGCACGCCGAATCAAGTGCCGGCACCGAGGTGTGCGGCATTGAGGAGACAAATGAGCATTTCCTGTCGCTGGCCTACGCGTACCCGACCCTGACGGTGCAATGGTGCAACATCTTGACCCTGGTGAACTACGGACAGCAGGGCTTCTGGTCGAGACTTCTGTGGCCAACGTCGCAGCCCTTGTCACCTCGCAGGAATCGCAGCACACCCGCATACTCGTGCAGCTCTGAGCTGGTGTCCCAGGCAGGCCTCATCTTGCTCTGTGACTACCTGGTGAGTGGTGTCAGGGCAAACACTGACTGCCTGGCACAAAATGAACTTTCTCGAAACGAACAGTACTGTATTTATGTTGGGAGGCTCATTTGAATGATTCGACTCTTGCTTTGTCGACCAATGAGAAATTTTTGACCCATTCCCTAATTCTAGCCCTTAGTTAGGCAGGAAAAGAAACTTGCACACCAGTACCTGTGACACAAGCATTTTGTATGCCGTAGGTTGTTAACCTGTACGTTCAATCGCTTCGGTGCTCACTCGAGAAGCATAGATTTTTCTCACCATTCGGTGCTTTCTGAGAGTCTGCTCTCTTTCCCAAACTCCTGCTTATGAAATAATGCAAAACATAAGCTATGAGCGCTTATTTCAGTATAAACGGTCTGTAACCCATCCACCTACTCATATTCATTGTCTCTCTTTCTTTGTTACCACGTGGTATGACCTGCAGGAGTAATTTGGATCAACTGGAGTAGGACTTAAAACACGGCCGAGGTAACATAGTCAGACGCTGCTGTGTGAATGCTAGATGTTCTACGTCACCTACCACAGGACAGTGTGGGGCAGTGGACACCAATGTTGTGTCAGTGTTCGGCCGAGACTTGTGTTTGTTCAGTCAGTGAGGGCACAAGTTCCACTCTGGCACACCCTTTGTGTGAAGGTTTTCCATAACGGGCGTGGGAAACTGGAAACTGCTAGGTGCCAGCCATATACCATACTTTGCATTTAATACTAGCGACTGCTTGTTCGTACTAATAGTGTCGCTCTGTGTTCAACCCGAGAACTGATGCCACGAATAACAAAATTCAAGATAACAGTGTAATTATTGCATTGAAAGCCTCTTTACTCGTATGTCTCTTTCCTCGTGAACTACATACTTTTGTTCTGTACCGGAGTGCAGCTTGGAACATTTTCTGAATTCGGGATTCATAAGCGTGAGAATCATATATAGTAGCTTGAGGCTGCATCTTCTAGCCATACGACCGTATGTGTAGTTGTAGCCCAAATTTTATCCTCAAGCTCACGAACTGCATATTTTGAAAATTGGTACAGTTGAACGAATGCCTTTATGACAAACACCCCTAATACAAATGCCTTTATGCTAGCCTGGGGTGTAACATGCATCATGTAGTACAGTTACACCCCATTGATACATTTTTTTAATGAAATTGCAGTGAAAAAGACACAATCTGGAAAAATGTAAAAATCGAGAAGGCTTTTGGGGTCTGTAAATAAGACGTAAAGCAACTTTCATACAGCAATATATTTCACATGGACTTTCATGGCTGGCTACCATATTTACGACTACCGTTTTTACATTTTTAGACATTATAACCAAGTGCCTTTATAACGATCGCCTCTACAACAGAAATGCCCGTTTAACAAAGAACTGGGTCCTAGCCCATTTCCCTTGTGTCTAGTGCGTTACGAGTGCAACTAATTTGTTTTACAAGTACTCCTGTTCAACAAATTACATGGCCTCGCAAAGCATAGATAACCAGTTACAAATTTTCTCGGTAAAAAGTAACAGATTTAACATAAATCATTGTGCTCAAGTGACGTGGACAAAACATTGCACCACATTCCTTTTTCTCCCAGAAAAGGTGCATAACGCAATGTTTTGTCACTCTTTTGTGCACATAAACTGTTAGCACCATTCAAAGACTATCTTGAAATACACTTTAGTGCTCCTTTAAAGGGGACACTACCTGGAAATTTAAACTTTTGAACCGCTCACTCAATCGGCATAATATTTTCCGGTGGTGTTTGTAGCCCTATAGAAGGAAGGGCATGCAAAGTTTTAGCCCTGTGAACCAATTTTATAAGGCACTATACCCCCAGAACGAAGTAAAGCAAAGCTTTGCATGGAATCTGCTCAATGAATCTATCGTTGAGAAATGGTGTTGATAACCACATATTTTTCTGGTGGAATGCATGCTCGAATACCTGTTTCCGTTTGCTATAAAAAGAAATTTCAGAAAATCTGCATTTTTCAGGTTAAAAAAAAAGAAAGCTTGTGAAAATTAAGAAAATACTTTTTTTTTTTTAACATTTAGCAAGCTTTGCAAGTTAAAATTTTACATAATAAGGAAACATTAAAGGACATAGTAACCGGCTCCATAAAATTTCGGCTTGCAAGCTGCAAATATTAAGTCTCTCTACAGTTTCATACTGAAACAATAGTTTTCCTAAGGTGAAATTTATGCCAAAAAGTCAAACAGAGAAAAATGTGTTCAAAGTGCTCCAGCCCCTACCTTTTCTTTAGCATGGGTGGACCGAAAATAATTTATAAATAGTTAACTATGCAGTGTAAAATAATTAAACTTTCTGGGTTGGTGGATCTAAATACAGTCGAGCCCGGTTATATCACACTTGGATATTTCTAATTATTGTTTATATCAAACAGTCCAAACATCCCCTTGAAAATCACATGTAATACTATAATAGCATTGTCTTTTTGTATCAAACTCTCATGGTGGGGACACTCAATGTAGCAAACGAAGCCCGGCTGCCCGTTGCTTTTCGTGCGATCCGATTGCACCGGTGGCGAGCGCATTGCTTGTGTTGCAGGCCTGGCAGACCGCCAAGCCAGCATAGATGCGCTAGAAAATAAAAAAACAATGCACCATAAAAAAAAAAAGTGGAGGATGGCAAAAGCAAGGGGAAGGGCACGCGCGTGCGCATGCGTAGGGAGAGCAGGGAGTGAGTGCTGTCGGAACGGCAGCCTGTGCCCTTTCCCCGAACACTGCTGACGCTGCGCGACTCCCTAACCCCAAAATAAATTAGCAAAAACAAACAAAAAAATATTTTAAGCCAAGTTTTTGACAACAATTGTGCAGTCGATCTTGGAATGCCTAATCTTCGTTTACCTTTTTCTTTTGCTTCTAATGCTTTGCCCTTTTTTTTTTGCTGCTTAAATTTAGTGAGCTTTCTTTTTTGTTGCTTACTTAACTTTTTTCTATGGATCAAGAGCTTTTTTTTTTTACATGTGTCTCAGTTTTTTTTTTTTTTCATTTTTTTAAAATTATTTTTGTGTTTTGTTGCTTTGTCGCGACTGGCCGTGTGGAGGTCCCGGCCAGGTGCGCGTGTAAGCGCGGCGGTCTTTGTGATCTCTGCCAACTACGCTCTACTGTACGGTATTTAGCAGCTCTTGGATGCTTTATTTGGTAAGCTCCTGTTTGTCGCAACCTTCAGTATTAGCAGAGACGCCAGGATATTTCAACTCGAGCTTAATTTACATATTTTTTTTATATTCAATTATTGATATATTGGAACTATTTTACAATCCCCTTTGAATTCAATATATCCGGGTTCGACTGCATGGAATTTTCAAAACCAACTTTTTTTGCAGAAATGTTTTTTTCTGGGTAGTGTCCCCCCTTAAAGGGACACTGACAGGGTATTTATGCTCGCCGAGGTTTTTAGTTGTACGTGACATATGAGAGCTCAACTACCCAGTACAGAATGGGCGGCTCGAAATTCGGTTTCTTTCCGCCCGAAAACCGCCGATCAAGAACTGGCCGGTTCGAGTCTCGCTCACTCTCTTTTTTGCGGTCACGGGCCGTTTTCTAAGGTATCGATGCGACCACCAAATTTAATCAAAGTCGTGGGTTGCTGAAGGCACACACTCAGTATTAAAAATAGAAAAAAATATCAAACCCATTTTTTGTGGCTTCTAAAAAGCTGCAAGTACGTTGATTGAAAAAAAAAAAAGTTCCACAGACAACGGGAAGCATTCTGTGCGTTCGTTGTTTCGCGTATCGTGGGACTCGCGGGAACGGCGATGGCAGCGGACGACGGGCGTGAGACCTCTATTTCAGAACTGTCGTTCGCGGTACCGGCGAATTCTGTCTACTTTTAAAAAAGAAATTTGGGACTGGTCATAAGATTTGGTATTATCCCGTACGACACGCCCGACCACCAAGCCGATTTGCACGAAGACGTCGCCGAGCCGTCGCTCCATTCTCGTGGCTGAAGACATCGCTCGCGCAAACGTCAAGCACGACGTGTCTACTTCGAGTTGAATATGCACACGTACGATTTCTTTACTAGGTGCGAATGTCGCCAATGTGTGGTGCTTCCCGACTTCGACCCGGGAGTGCTTTTACTAGAGGAAAATCGGCAGCAAACTCTACTACTTACAGTTTACCAGCTGAATTATTACTAAGGAAAGAGATCCGTCAGTAAAGCGATGCCCCAGTAGCTCACTGGGAAAGACGTCCGCTTCACACGTGGTGGGACCGGGTTCGATCCCCCTTAGAACCTTCCTTTTTTTTTTTTTTTTCAAACATTTTTTAATGTTTACGTATCTTTTTTTTTTTTTACAATTATCACTGAAGAAAGAAACCAAAAAAAAAAAATAACGAACAAATGTTGTGGACGACACTTCGCTGAATTAAATGGTATGGGATTTCCTTTTTGACACCTGCGAACTCAATGTAATCACTTTCCACAAAATGCAAGAAGCATATAAATCAGGTAGCGTCCACTTTCCGAGGTGCCCGTGTATGTTCTACAGGAATTGCAGCCAGCCATTGGTCCCGATCCCGTTAATCCTTCGGAAACTCTGTCGCACAATGTTCCTTTTTTTTGGGACGCAGGACATGTGAGCCAGCTCTTCACGCAACATCTTGGGTGTATTCTTTTCGGAGCCGATCATGGAAATTCACCACGGGCACTCACTACACATCTCCAACTCCTCAATGTACAAAACAACTCATCTTGAGTACAGAACAACGAGCGGAACAAACATAACTGCAAAACAATCGCACGGCGAACAGTTCCCGTACGCCGCATGTCGTGTCGTCTGCTACGGAGAGGAGGAAAAAAAACAACAAAAAAAAACGCACGGTCGGGTGTAGCCACGTGACTTCCGCCACTCACTCTCTTCTCTCCACTTCTCCGATCTCCGTCGGGTTTCGGTTTCGAGCGGTTGCGTCTTTTGGCTTTATTAAAAAAATACGCTACTCTGTTGCAAAATATTAATTGGGTAGTCCTCCGACACCATAATAAAGCGCCTGGCAAAAAATGAAAAAAAAATTTTGGGGGGTGTCAGTGTCCCTTTAAGGTGATATTGATATGCTGCTGGTCTTGTCTCACAGGTGACTGACATTTCTTTCTGGTGGTTTCCTCTTTTTCTGTTTTGTTTTTTAGTGTGAAAACATCTATGATGCAGAACCAATGACGTGGCTCATTGTGAACCATGTGAGCGAAATCATACATCTCTCTTCAGAGCCCCCTGTGTCTGACTTCATCAGGTTGGTACAATTTGCCATTTAAATTACGAGTAGAGGTGTGTGAATACCAACTTTTTTTTATTGCAAATCAAATATGAATGTTACAATTTGACTTTGAATCGAATTCAAATATTTTTAGAATACACATTTTACATTGAATGTGAATTGAGTGGAAATACAAAGCAACCTATCGTAGAAAAGTTCTTTTGTAGCAAACATTATGTTTACTTGTATTTAAAAAAAAAAAGACCCAGATAAAATGGCTAATGTAAAACAACCTGTGAGGGGTATACCATATTGATTTATTCTATATTTCTCTGCAGAAGTTAGTCACTTAGAGGTTGCTAATATATCCACCTTTTGGTCATATTCCCCCTGGACCCGAATTCACTTGCACCACCTATGTGGTAGCCTTTCAATGCCTTGCCAAAGTCACTTTATGGAAGTATAGCATTGCACCCATGCCTGGACAGCTGCTTCCAGCTTATCGGTGACCACACAATGGCATCTTCACAAGGTTTTTTTTCATGGGCCTGATAAGGTGATAACCACTAGAGGCCAGATTGGGCCATACACATGCACGGATGCCTGAGAGGTTATACGATGCAGGTGGTCCAAGTACATTTGGCATCAGGGGGAATATGTTGAGAAGGTAGACATACCTAGTGCCGGTACCTGCAGCAAACAAATGATGTGTAAATCTATATGATACACCTCTTGTAGCATGGCAGGTAAATTCAAAATCTACCTTATTGATTTCAGTATAGCTTGGGGATTGTTTTGTCCTTTGAAATAAGGGGTCGAATAATTACAGTCGATTCTCGATAACTCGAAGTTCACGGGGACAGCGAAACGCAACATATTAAGCGAATATTGAATAAAAAAGAAAAAAAAGAAACTTTTAAACAGTAGGTTTTTTTTTTCAATACTCACCTGAGAAGTTGTTGATTTTCATTTGTCTTGATTAACGAAGACGTGTAGCATTAACTATGCCATGCAAATTGCAAACCCTTCCTAGGGCGTCCTCAGCAGTATCTTTCATCAAACAAAACGTGGAAAAGTACTTCACGGTGACACAAGCAATTTCTGCATCAGCAGTACTTGACCATTCGGCAGAGAAAGCAATGTTATAGTTCCTGGGCCTAACAACTTGCACGAAAGCAGACCACAGACCATGGCATGTTTGTTGAGATTACTATATTCAATGAACAAAACATCTCTTAGGCCTAGGTGATTCCTCAGATCAAGCTTTGTTGGCCGTACGTGCTGCACGTTCGAGCTTGCTTCCGTGAGGATCACGCCACGTTGCACTTGCCCGCGGCCATGGCTTGGCTTGATTTGGCCTGGCTTGGCCACATGACTGGCTTGGTTTGCTTGATTTAATTGGCTTGACCACTTATTTCACTTAGCTGCTTGGCTGTTAGGTGGCTTAATCGTGCACTTTGCTTCCTTCTTTCTTTTCCGAACCGTGCACACAGTAGTTAAAAGTGCTAAAGACTGCATGGGTGCGATTTAAGCTTGGCTAGCATAATCGTGAGGATTTTTTATGCTCCCGGAGTTACCGGACTTCTCAAGTACATACACAAAAAAAAAAATTCTTAATTAACCGGTCCTAGAGGTGAAACTTCAAATTACCAGCCGTTTTTCATAGATTTGTATGTCTGATTGCCAGGACTGCACCGCTACTTTGAACTAACCCAGTGATGGAAGTGCTGTGCCATTTGCGCCAAATTGCGCCATTTTACAGCAGTGCTGTTAAGGGCTAGCTAGTTTCCCGAGGATCGTGTCCCCTGCAAAGAAATGTTGACACAAAACTCTGGACAGCTACCGCCATCTATGAGCGACGGCAACAACCAAAGAACCGGCTTGCCGGCCTCGCTCATAGATGGCGGCAACCTTTCCAGCCTTTCCACTCTGGTTTTCACCAGAGTGGAAAGGCTGAATTTCTCAAGGCGTTGTCCTAGATGTCGTCCCCGAGGTCATCCTAGAAGTCATCCTTGAGGTTGTCCTTGAGGTCATCCTAGAAGTCATCCTTGAGGTCGTCCTAGAAGTCCCCCTTGAGGTCGTCGTAGACGTTGTCCTCAAGGTTGTCCTAGAAGTCGTCCTTAAGGTTGTCCTCAAGGTTGTTCTTGAGATCGTCCTAGACTTCGTCCCTGAGGTCATCCTCGGCGTCTTCCTTGAGGTCGTCCTAAACGTCATCCCTGAGGTCGCCCTCGAGGTCGTCCTAGAAGTCGTCCTTGTGGTCGTCCTAGACGTTTTTCTTAAGGTCATCCTAGACGTCATTCTCTTGGTGTCGTTCTTGAGGTCGTCCCTTCACAGTTCAGCTTCGCTGGTCTTCCTTCTTCACCAGAGTGGATAGGCTGAAAGTTTTTGCTCAAAATCGGTCACACCTGTGCCAGGGTGGGCTTAAAGGGACACTGACAGGGTATTTATGCTCTCCAAGTTTTTTATTTGTACATGACATATGAGAGTTACACTAACCCAGAACACAATTTGCGGCTCGAAATTCGTTTTCTTTTCGCCCGAAAACCGCCGATCAAGAACTGGCCGGTTTGAGTCACCCTCACTCCCCTCTGTGGTTTAGGCACAACCACCAAATCTAATCAAAGTTGTGGGTCATCGAAGGCACACACTCAGTGTTAAAAATAGAAAAAAAAAAAAAATATACCCATCTCTTCTGGCTTCTAAAAAACTTCAAATATGTTGATTGAAAAAAAAAAAGTTGCATAGCTACGTGACTTTTGGCAACTCTCACCTCCTCTATATTTTTTCTTCCTCTCCAGTTCAGTTTTGGTTTTGAGCAGCTGTGTTTTTTTTAATTTATTAAAAATATATGTGATGCTGTGGCAAAACATTGATTGGGCAGCCTTCCGACATCATAATAAATCGCCTAACAAAAAATTAAAAAACCTTTTTTTTTTTGGAGGGTGTCAGTGTCTCTTTAAACAGTGCAAAAAAGACTTCAATATTGGTCGACACTAATATTAAAAGGAGTAGAAGAGTAGGAAAATGGTAAATGCATGTGTTTTTCGGTCTACTCACCTTAGTTAAAATTTGCTTGTATACCGTGCTGGCCACGTCATTGTCTTAACTTTCGGACTATGATGTTCGATGATGTGACGGAGTTAGAAGTCGCGAGGAAAATTTATAAAATGGTGGTATGGCGGCTGCTTTGATAAGACAGAACCAGGGTCTCTTACTTCTGATGAGATGACTTGATATTCATTTTGGCCACATGCCTCCGTGGCACAATCACCGCTTGAGTCAACCTTCACCATCTCGTACAGGCACTTGTGTGTCGAGCTTCACCGCATTGCATCGGTGCGTTGGGAGAAGTAGCTTACGCAGGGGAACCCCCATGCGCTAGTGCGATGGGCTCGAAATTATGCTCAGTACTATTACAGGTCAACCTTTTTTCATTTTGATTGTAGGTCGACCTCTAATTTTAAAGAGCCGTGCCGAAAAAGGAAAGCAGAACAAGAAACGTGGATCTGTATTTGAATGAGTAGTCAAGGTAGTTCCCACACAGCAGTCGATCAAAAGAGTCCCGAACTTCAACTCAACTCTGGCTCCAATGCCGTTAACTGTTGCAGAGTTAGGAGTGTCACTTTTAATGCTCAACTTTAATTTTTGGTGATATTGGGGGTGGGGGGGGGGGGGGGGGGGGGTTGTAGCTTATAATATTAGGTGCTCGAGTTTTGTAGGTTTATAAATCTTGGTAGAGCATATGTTTAGTGACATTTTGGCAGATATACTCATTTTCTTCATAATTTTACATAAATCCTATTGACTGGCTACATTACCTATGAACTCAAAAGAGAGAGTGGGAGAGACACTTTATCTCAACTGAAGTATCTTGCTGATTTGTTTTTCAACAATTTTTTTCTTAGTCCTCATTGTAAACTGAGTTGTGTGCCATGTTCTAGTTTTTATGATTAGGTGTTATAAATTCAAAAGGTAATGGGTAATAAACTTCATTAACAAAAATGAACCCTCAAAGCCTTATTATCAAAGATTGGCTCTTTTAGTGATGCTATTATTGTTTAATGTTCAAGTGATGTACTAACATATGTTGAGATCTGCTCCAAAAGGGTCAATGGCAGCTCCAAACCAACATTTTGCCTGCTATAAAACCTGCTACAAAAACTTTCAGCCTTTCCACTCTGGTAAGAAGGAAGAGCAGCGGAGCTGGTAGCTTCTGCTCACGGCGGTGCCTTTCCAGGCGAGCGATCTGCTCTTCTTTCGCAAGGGAATCTGAAATGCTCGGCACAGTGGAGCTTTAGGCGATAGTGGCCTCGCGGCGGTTGTGGAATCATTTGTGCTGCTGCGCACATTGCCGCTAGTTCCGTTCCCGCTCTTCCTCCGAAGAAATGTTGCTGCCATCTATGAGCGACGGCAGCAACCAGTTGTCTGCTTGCCGAGGCTGGAAAGGTTACCGTGATCTATGAGCAACGGCGGCAAGCAGACAACCGGCAAACACAACACTCTGGACAGCTACATCCATCTATGAGCAATGGCAGCAACCAGAGTGTTCTATCGACCGTGGGTGTCGACATTTGTTTGGTATTGGACACGATCCTGGGGAAACTGGCGCTTAACAGCTCCGCTATAAAAGTCATTTGCCACTTTCATCACTGCTAACCTAATTTTAGAATAAAACGACTGTATTACTGAGAGTTAACTGTATAACCAAAGACTAAGCTACAGTAGTGAGGGAAATTTTGAGACAATTGGGCCAACCAAGATGTTCTTACACGTCAGCCGTTTCTCCTAGCATGCCGGTGCAAAGCAGTGAAGCTTGATGTGCATGCAGAGAAGCTTGGTGGCAGAGCACTGGTGCAAAGCAGAGAAGCGTGATGCAAGAAAACGAGAGAATTCTGAAGACGTGATTTGTAATTTTCGAGAAAAACTCATATATTTCTAACCATAAACTTGTGCTGTCAGTTGCATTGAATATCAAACACTGCTCGCAAATTATTTGAATTTTAAAATATTTGCACACCTCAAATTATGAGGCTTGCTGTTAGCTTATCAGTTGTGCACCTCCCTTTTCACCTTCAGTGTGATACATCGAAACCCGGCTGCCAGCGGCCTCTTTGTGCAGGCTGTGCTGACGCGATGTGAAACTCGAAGCAGTGTAAGTATGCTACCTTGTGCATGGGGGAGTAACCCTGAATATTTGAAAAAAATGCAATCACGTAACTATACAGCGAGGCAGGCAAAAAATAAGGTCAGAATATAAACATGCATCACAGGCAAGTGCTCGCCCTTAGCTGTTAAAGGGGTCATGAAACGATTTTTCAACTTCTTCCTTGTTAGCTTTCCTCCTCAACTTGCAAATCTTGCAGCGTTACCAAACAGTTCAAAAGGAAAAAAAGAAGAAACTCCCCTCTTGCTTGAACCCTCATTTGTGCACCCAGACGTCACCATCCTCTCCCTAGAAGATTAGCCTGTCGCCCGTGGCTGTGGAAGCGACATGCTCATTGGGCCTGTCACACTTCTATCTTGCCACCTGCTCATGTTCCCTCGTACGTACTCACGCGCGGAGAATGGGGTCAGTTGATGAAAGGGAAACGGCTGATTGGTCCATCAAGCACATATTTCCCACTGCACTGTCAGCTTAAGTTGTGAAGGGAATATAGTCAGGCCGGGTGTCATGTGACGTGCTGTGGGGCCGGGTGACGTATGTATCCAATTTATCACAGTGAGAAGGCGGAGAGGTTTGGAAGGAAAGGAAGTATGAAGTAGTCCGCTATGTTTTCAAATTTTTGTACCAAAAAGCAGGCTTTCGACTTCTTATTTTCTTTCTTTTGGCCCACTGAACGATATGCTATTAGTAAAATCCTAATCTAATGTCATTTATCCTAGCCCAAAATTCATTTCATGGCCCCTTTGAAGGGGCACAAAGGTGGATTTTGAAATCAGATTTTTATGGCACAAACTATCGACGCTTCTCAAGCATCCTAATTAACCGTAAGCAATATTCCTCCGTTAACAACGTAAAATCTCCCACCTCTACCGTAACGTCAGGTGTCCCCCAGGGAACCGTACTGGGCCCCCTTCTGTTCCTAATCTATATTAATGATCTCCACCTTAATATCGCTTCTTCTGTGCGGCTGTTCGCCGACGATTGTGTCATTTACCGACCCATTCTTTCAAACCATGATCATCATGCTCTCCAGGAAGACCTAGAGTCTGTAATCCATTGGTGCGAAAAATGGCAGATGACATTAAACTTCAATAAATGTAGATCCCTATCAATTTCACGCAGTTCGCGTGCCACACCATTTTCGTATTACCTCTCTAACACTCAAGTAATAGCATGCTCATCTTATAAGTACCTGGGTGTTCATCTCACCTCTGACCTATCATGGACTACTCACATAACTTCTGTTATTTCTGATACTAACCGTTCTCTCGGATACTTGCGCCGTAACCTTAAACTTGCTACACCCTCCGTAAAACGACTAGCGTATACTACTCTTATAAGATCGAAATTAGAATACGCCTCATCTATATGGTCCCCATGGCAGTCCTACCTTGCAAATAATCTAGAATCCGTCCAAAACAGAGCCCTTCGTTTTATTTATAACAACTACTCACCATATACCAGCATATCAGGATTACGCCAATCAGCTAACCTTCATTCACTTTCCCTTCGCCGCCGAGTATCACGCCTTTCTCTCCTCCATCGAATTTTCTATCACAATAGCCACCTTAAAGAATCACTGCTATCACCTCCCCATCGTATTTTCCCGCGTCTAGATCACCTATGTAAATTACGTCCAATTCGATCATCAACTGTTTCTCACCAGACTTCCACACTACCATTGGCCATCGAGGATTGGAATTCACTACCTCATAACATCGTTTGTATTAATGATACTACTAAATTTGTTGAAGCCATTACCCTCTTTTTATCTAACCTACCTAGCTAGCTTACAGTGTTATAATTGTGTTTACTGTTCTATTTGTTTTTGTTCTATTGCCACCCCCTTGTATAATGCCCCACGGGCCCTCAAGGAAAATAAATGATGATGATCCTATAAAACTCAAAATTACAGTGACGCGTGACTTTATTGCCCTTAGCCTTAAAAACACGACCAAACACCGCAACATGCCCCTTTTTATAGGATGTCTCAGAAAAGGCTTGTCACAGTGTATGGTTGTGTGGGATTGAACTGATAAAAAAATAAATGCAGTGTTGACAGTCTTTAATATACAAATCTAATTTACTTTGACACGAGCTCCCGTAAGTTGTATCCATCAACATAGATATAATAAAACAGTAGCACATGTAAGTACATTAATACGCAACACTGACTCAAAAACTTTCATCGATACATCCCATTTAGCAAAAAGTATAGCGCCAAAAACAAATCCCACACCTCTACTGATCCTGTGCGGCAGGGATGAGTAAGCACTCGGGCACTCAGCAATCTGTTTCTATTGTGCACTGCTCTCATCACTTTGGGACACTCGCAAGCTATAATTTCGCTATAGATTTGAGCCTTTCCTGGAAACAGCCGGCGCATATCTCAGCACATCCTCATGTTCGGGCAAAGACCCCAAAAAAGTAAAAAAAAAAAATATGGAGTTTGAAAACAATGAAGCTATTGCTTTTTTTTTTTTTAACATCATGTGGACAGTTGTGACTGAAAAATAAACAAGCAGAAATGTGGAGAAGAGAGTGGAAATGCTCTGTCAGGATGCCGCCAATTGTTAAAAGCCCCCCCCCCCCTCCTCCTCCTCCTTCAACCGAAGACTCTGAGAGCTATCGGGAGGTCAGGGCAGTCACATCTTTCCTGCACCCCCGCAGGCGCTGGCTTTCTGCTTGCTCCCATTTACCTCCCATTTGCCCGCTTGGTGCTGCACCCGCTTGGAGATTTTTGAATGATGCAGTCGTTTCTCAAGCAAGCTTGCTCACATGCTTTCTCTACTTGAGTCCTCAACAAATTTTCATGTTCTTAGTGTAAAAAAAAGAAAAAAGATCCGTTGACAAGAACGTTTCAGCTTCGGTTCGAGCGCGGCCGATGTTATGAGCCGAAGGGCCAATCAAACAGCAAAAGAGGCACAACGTCATGGTGTGCTCTCTACAGTTGAAAGGACCAGCCGATATTCGCCGTCTCTCTGTGCGTGCTCCTCCGCCGGCTAGTCTTATCAAGCGCAGAGAGCACGCCATTACGCTGCGCTTTTTGCGGTGTTTGATTGGCCCTTTGGCTCATAGCATCGGCCGTGCTCGGACCGAAGCTGAAACAAAGTATAGTTTTTGTGTTGACGGCCAGAATAATTTCTCGAAGCGAAAAGCAAAAGAATTTTGGGAAGTGTACTGTCGCCCGAACACCCCTCTGGCTATGTCCCTGCCTGCAATAGAGCACTGTATCGCAGCACCGATGATTCTTTATTGATCTCTCGTAACAGAACTTATTAATAAGCTTGTTTCTTTTGTTTTCAGAGAAATTGATGCTTTCTTAAACCAAAAAAAGCTGGACAAATACGGATGTGGGTTTGCACTGCCTTGCCTAGATGCCGCTACTCACGGCACTGAAGTTTGGCAGCTGTGATGGTATTGGGAAGCCATTTTTGGGAGAAGAAAAAGGAATGAAAGATGATAGCACTTTATGAGATTGGTGCAGATAACGAAGTTTGAGCATTTGATTGCGTGTACAGATCTAAAGACGGCAACAGTACTGAGAAACGTTTGCAGTGCGGTGACGTGTCGACGCCATCTAAGTGCATTTAATTCGAAGTGGGTCGGAATTTTGGGGATTTCAGTTGGCGACCGCACTGCCAACCCCAACAAAAGGCCCTGGGCGAAGAGGAAGGGATGCATTGTGTTCTGAGCGTGGGTGCCCTAATGACTGTGCGGGGGTCGCGGTGTAAGATACTCTTTAGGTGAGCGCACACAGCACGGTAAAGGCACGTTCACACACTTGCGATTCCTTAGAACCGAGTGCCTTAAAACCTCTTAAAATCTCTTGCGACGGAAGAACACATTGACATGCTAGTGCCATCTACAGCCCTGGAACTGCATTTCACAAGACTGAAGGGTTGGCGGTATTTGTGAGGTTAAATGTACATACTACTGATGAGAAATGTTTGTTTATAACATTGACAAAAGTTTTTCGAGCCAAGAAAGAAAGAATGATGCGCAAAAGATATTGAAAATATACAGGACCGCCCAGTGTCCCTCTGCTACCCGATAGGTGGTTCCAGTGTGTCCTCTCGTCGTAAGAGATTTTAAGAGGTTTCAAAGCCCTTGGTTCTAAGAAGTTGCAAGTGTGTGAACGAGCCTTAAGTGCTGCTACATGATTGACCAGATAAAGACCTATTGGCGTACGCCTGAGTAGCCTATGCTGACAGTGTCTCCGCTGCCCAGACGGTGCAACTGAAGTAAAAAGAAAAGCAGAAGCAAAAGAGGGGTCTCGTTGTCATGGCACCCTAGTGCCCGCACACTCCGCCCAGAGAGTGCTGTGACCTTGACAGACGCTGGCTTGAACACCGTGCCAGAGATCTCTCCGTTTCAGCGGGTCCATAAAACTGGTCTTGCGACTGTTGAGGCACGAGACTGGGGTCATTGACAAAGCTTGTCTCAGCTACATGCGTAGCGCAGGTGCCAAGTTCTACATGACGCGACACACTCGGGTAAAGACTTTAAAATCAAGCATCTCTCCCATAGAGAAGCATGGGATACATGTTTGCCTCCGCTTGAAATTAAGGCGCGGCGAGGACTACCTGGCAGCTTCGACACGCACAATATCCAGACCTATATATTAGCTTACACCGTGGTGGGGGTGCAGGCGTCCTTTGTGGGTCGGCTGCTGGGCTGCCTGGAGGGCATCCACCCGGCCCAGTGTGGGGCCCTGCTGGCCCTGTTGGTGGAGAAGGTATTGCCCACGCCCCACCTGTGCCTGGCCCGGTCGTGCGAGGCTTTGGCTCAGCGCCAGGTGGAGCTGCTTCTCGCCCAGCCCAGCTCCTCTCTGCAAGAGCTGGCACGCCTGCCCGAGTTCATGCGGGCCACCAGGCTGCACCGCAGGTCACTTCTCCTTTCCTCCCACGGTTAAACCTCACCTTCCAACTTTGGCAGTTCGACTTTTGTGCAACTTGACCTCTGCGCAAAAATGCAAAATACTGTAAAATTTTGATGATTTAGTTTGTTAATGTGAAACTGTGAATCCGATCCAATAAATATTGCGCTCTCTTCGTTGCTAGGCAGTGTCATTTCGTTTTCATTTTCTGCCCATGCGCATAAAGGCCCATTCACACACTTGCTGCCGAGTAGGACCGACTGAGACAATACCAGATTTAAGCCTCTTGCGACGGCGTAGGACCGGATGCGCTACTGCAGAACAGGTCCTAAGCCGTCGCAGGAAGCTTCAAAACCGGTTTTGTTTCAGCCGGTCCTACTTGGTTGGAAGTGTGTGAATGGGTTTTAATAATCCAACTTCGGTCAAACTTTGCATTAAAGGTTTGAAAAAGTCTAACTTGGTGCACCCCATACCTTGGCAGGTTTGCCACATTCCAAGTCCTATTATAACAGGGTGTTTCACCCAACATTGTTCGAAAGTTTCGTGAAAAAAAAAGCTATGCATTGTGTGTGAATTAGAATGGTACCGTGTTAGTCACCGTGAGGAGACCTATTTACTTAGGATAATCAATCTTTTATCTAATTTTATGTAACAGCTTTTACCTAATTAGTAAAAATAAACATATACCACCTGAGTCAAATGGATCGTTGGTAATCTTAGTCAGCTGCTGCTTTCGTGCCTTGGGACGAGACGACCGTGCAAACTGGGGGCGTAGAGGCAATGTCTCTTGTTCTGCTTCTCCAGGCACCCGCACCTACTGGCGCTGCTCGAGAAACTGCTCAAGGGAGACCCCACCCAGCAGCTGGCCTCTGGAGAAGCAGTGGACGCAGCCGGTGCACCTAAGTGGAGCGTGAACAAGGCAAGTCTGGATCTCCCAGATCCCCCCGTGATGACACCCATAGAGTGATGCTCAAAGGAGACCCTCCCTTCGGAGTGAGACCGAGACTGTGTTCCAAATCTTGCTAAAGTGGATCCGAGTTACATCGGCGAGTTATGGTACTTGACAACATAGAAAAAGCACCTCTGGATGTGGGTAAGTTTTCGAATGCCAAGGTACAGTACCTTTACCCTGGAGTGAGATTGAGTAAATTTTGGAACAGCGATTATCAATTTTGGAACTGAGCCTGGTTCGGCCGGGCTGCTGGGGCGGAACCTTCACTCGACACGAGTTGGGGCAAGGGGCTGGGTGCCAGCCTTGGAGGGGCAGGCTAGTCTGGAGCCACTCCTTTGCACAGAGACCCCCCAGCTTCATCTGAAAACTGCCGCGCTGGGGTCGATGTCTGCAATGGGATGGCTCTTGTTTAATCCAATCGAAGTGTGTCACCGTGTTTGTGCATGCTTTCCTCGCCTCTTGCCCCATCATTAGGGTGACCATATTCCTCAAGGTAGAAAATCGGACATCCCAGCGGGATGGGGGGTTAGTGTATTGTTGCCACACGAGATTCTACATGCGTGCTATATCCAGTTACTCTAAAAATGTAGAGCCCTTCCACTTCACGTGAAGATGGAGGACCAGCAAAGCTGTTATCTTTACGACGTCTAGGACGATGCCTAGAGGACAACGTCTAGGACGACTTCAAGGACAACTTCTGGGACGACCTCAAAGACGCCGCCCAGAGGACAACGCCCAGAGGACAATGCCTAGAGGACGACATCTAGGATGCCTTTCAGGGGACAACGCCCAGAGGACAATGCCTAGAGGACGACATCTAGGACGACCTCAAGGACGACGTCTAGGATGGCCTCAAGGATGGCCTCAAGGACGACTTCTAAAAGGACAATGTCTAGGACGACCTCAAGGATGACTTCTAGGACGACCTTAAGGACGTCTAGGACGACTTCAAGGATGACTTCTAGGACAACCTCAAGGACAACTTCTAGGACGACGCCTAGAGAAATTCAGCCTTTCCACTTTGGTGAAAGCCAGAGTGGAAGGGCTGGAAAGTTTTCCGCCATCTATGAGCGACGACGTTTTGCCGCTGTCGCTCATAAAGTAGACTCTCATTAATTCAAACTCCAGGAAGTCACAGATTTTAGTTTGAATTACCAGAAGTTTGAATTATCAGAAATTCATATAAATATGATACTAGACAACATTATGATTTGTTACATGGATAGCTACGTATACAAAGCAGATTTTTGCCAGTTTCCTCTACATAGGCCTAATTATAAGCAAGTACAGGCATAACACATTGGTGAAAGAACTGTGACGTTAAGTTTATTCATCCGGCAAAAAAGTTGTCGATTGTGGACTGTTTAGTCAGTACATGAGATCTCAAAACAAAATTTTCAATACCAGCCAATGCAAGTACCTAGCTCTTTACGGGACTCTTCCTTTGCAGACAGAAACTTCTGGAGCTTAGCGATGTACTCAAAGGCCTTTGCGGCAGTGGCAGTTGGTAGTGGGCCATCCCTTTCTTCATCATCATCTTCACTCTCACCGCTGCACTGTGCTGGCATTACTTCCTTATGTCCTCTAATGAGTCATCACAACAAACACACAGATCATCGTCAAGACTAGCATATTCCGCCAGCTCGGCGTTCACATTATGTGCTTCAAGGCCAGAAAGCATGATGCCAGTGAGCTGTTCCTCATCCTCGATGTCGTCTTGGTCATCATTGCTAGTCTTGAAGCAGATAATGTGAATGCCGTTTTCCGCTAATGTGTGCCTGCTTAAGCCCCGTTGAGTGCGCTTCTTTCCGAGCACCGGTGCACTGCGGAGAAGCAACACTTGCAAAAACAAGCTCCGCGGGTATTGCTTCTCTGCGGTGCACCTGTGCTCGGAAAGAAGCGCACTCAACGGGGCCGCGAGAACAAAAAAGTATGAATTAAGCGAAAACGCCGTTCGAATTAAGCGGCTTATAAATACATTAAAAACATAGCGGGACAACCAAAATTTTCAGATCTGTTTGAATTAACCTGAAGTACGAAATATCCGAGTTTGAATTATCGCGAGCCTACTGTAGATGGCGGTAGATGTCTAGATTATTGTGTCGGCATTTGTTTGCCCACAGACACGATACTGGGGAAACTAGCCCTTAAGAGTTCGCTGTAAAAAATATTTCTACACACGTGTCTTTGTGAGAGAAAAAGTGTTTGTGGGCAAGAACAGTTCTAAATTTTACTCTCTGGGTAAATAATTTAAAGTACCTACGGTTATTTTTGTCAAATTTACATGTAACGAGTAGGCATAGTTTCGGTTTGCTTCAACTCACTTGGTGCCAATTTCGAAACTATGCACACCTGCGAAAATGGGACATGATACTTTATAAGGACAAAAAGACGGGACGGCAGAAGCGGACCTCAAAAAGCACTTCTTATGAGTTGTGAATGCGAAAGCATGTACATCATTCTTGCTCTACACGTGTTGGCATACTGACTGGCGCTTACCTGGCGCTGCATGTCCGGCGAGCTAGCCAATGGGATCGAGGTGTTGAAGGTGCCGTGGCTAGCTTTGCGCGTGGTTACAGCCTCATAGCTGGGAGCTGGGCTTGACTTAGAGAAGGATTTAAGAGCCGTTTGGCGTAATTTCAAAGCTGATGACGTCGGCTTGCTCCATGAGACAGTTAATGCTTTCGCATTAAAACGGGACGTCTGGTCACCCTACCCATCATTGGCATGGATTGATTAAAGTTTTCTCAGTCTTGCCGAGCTCTTGCGCCTTGCATCTCGCTCTGCTCGAAGTTCACCGAAGCTTAGGGTTTTGGGCATCCAGACTGGACCAGCAGCACTGGGACGAGCAAACCTGCTGGAATTTCCCTTGTGCCCACTAGGTGACGAGAGGTTTGATATAGAACCCTGACAAGCATCACAGTGCCTATTTTAAGGGAAGATGCGAATCGAAAAACAATGACTTTTTCAAAAAAAAAAAAAAAAAAATGATTTTGCGTTTTTTTTGTGTTTTCTATTATCTTTAAACCCTCGTCTTTTGCTTATGAAATAATCAAGACCGGATATCATCGTGAAATTAGTCAGATACGAGTTTGAAGCCCTTCTCGCGATGGAAAACCGTAGAAATCTGAGCCATTTTCGAGCACGTGATTCTTTGGATCGCGGTGTCGCCCAACATCGCGTTTATTTCGGCGCGTAGGCCTAGCCGTTTTCACTCCGAAACTGTTGTCGATAGTTTTGTATTCTGGTTGCAAATAATAAGAAATAAATGCTTTTTCCCACTGCTAATGTGTGTCACCACTGGCCTTTTAAATCACGTGATGCGATTGTGACCCCACCATTGGCCGAGAGCAACGTGTTGCGTGGTGAAGCTTGCTTGCTGTTTTAGCATTGCACTGCTCCTGAAACCAGAACCAACGACTTGTTTGATCATTCTGCTTTCTTGCGATGGACGTTGACCGAAAACGCGACTTTTGAGCTCGGAAGTTTCGGACGACACACAAGCTCAAAGGAAGTCGCCAAACGGGCAAGCGGAAAGCTTCAAAGAAAAAAAGTTAATCCGTGGCAGCCAGCTAACCCTAACCTCGGTCTGGGGCGACATTTCCGAGTATGATCACTTGAGTTTCATCGGCAGCGCTGACGAGTTCATTAGTGCATCTGAAAAGATCAGGATATTTGAAAACGGAGAGAGGGCTGGAGATGAGCGTGCAACTACTGTGATCTGCGAGATAGGCGGGATGAAAGCTCTCGCCAGTGGCGCGTCATGCTCGACTTGCGGAAAGTGCGAACTCGCCGTCCAGGAATCGGCTGCTAAGCGAAAGGGACTGTGCACCTTGTCGAAACGAAAGCTGCTGCCGTGAACCTGGAATGGACCAGGAAGATGACAGCAGAAGAGGTAAAAGCTAATCAACTAAACGATGCGTGGCAGAAGAGAGGACACAAGAGCCATAATTGCATTGGCACAGTAATATCTGTTGACACAGGATTCTGCTTAGACGCCGCAGTTTTCTCAAACTACTGTCTGAGCTGCTGCAGGTGCAAAGCTTTCGAGGATGAAGGAGTGGAGGAGCTCTGGCAAGCCTTCCTCAAGTTGGTGTGTGAGACAAACACTGACGGCTCATCCCATGCCATGGAAACAGAAGCTGCAATGAGGATCTGGCAGAGGACCTTGTCGTGTGTGACTTCTCTCCAATTCACGACAATCCTCAGTGACGGAGACAGCAAGGCGTATGCTGCTGTGTCTGAGGCAAACTTTCATGGGAGTGCCCCCATTGTGAAAGAAGACTGCACAAACCACGTGGCAAAGCAATTAAGCACTGGACTCCAGAAGCTTAAGATGCCACTGCCACGGGGACAAAAGCTCAAGAATGGAACTATCCAGAGGGTGCAGAGCTACTTTCAGATCGCCATCACCAGCAATAGAGGTGTCCGGGGAATGTATTGTGCTGTCTGGGCATTTTATTTTCACTCCTGCTCCACTGATCTTGCCAGCAGCCACAAGTTCTGTCCTGACGGGGAATCTTCCTGGTGCAAACACAAGAGAGCACAAGCCTTGGGTGAACCAGCACTGCCACACACTCCAACCCTCACAACTGCTCAGGCCAAGGCCATGCTGCCCATCTACAAGAAGCTGAGGGAGGAAAAGCTGCTGTCCTGCTGCATACAAGGGAAGACTCAGAATGCTGATGAATCACTCAATAGCAAAATCTGGATGCTGCGCCCCAAGACAAAGTTTGCCTAGCTAGGGCACTGTCGGGGAGATGCCCACTGCCATTGCAACCTTATGGTTCAACAAGGGACACACGGGCTTCGAGCAGGTGCTACAGGAGCTTGGCATCCTCCCGTCTCAGGAACTCATCACGCTCAGCAATAAGTGTGAGAAGAAATGCATTGCCATGGAGCATGACCACCAAAGCGACTGCTGAAGCAAGATCCTGTTGCTGCCGAATGGTGAAGTGGGCTCGTGT